GCGCGAGTTGGCCATCGAAGAGAAAGTTTCGGGTTTGGGCAAGTATAGGGTGAATATTTTATAGGGTATATAGGGTTTAGGGCAAAGGGTGCGCATATAGAGTATAGAGATATATAGGATATACAGTAGAGGGTCTAGAGTTTAGGGGCTTAAAGGGGAATTCGATCCGATTGCAGGAGTCTTGGGAGCAGCTGCCTGATGCGGTCGCCCGCTTTGAAGCCACCAGAACCTGCCATGGTTGAGGGTTTAGGGTTTAGAGGGTTTAGGGTTTAGGGTTTAGGGTTTAGGGTTTAGGGTTTAGAGGGTTTAGAGGGTTTAGGGTTTAGGGTTTAGGGTTTAGGGTTTAGGGTTCAGGGTTCAGGGTTTAGGGTTGAGGGTTTAGGGTTTTAGGGCTTCGGGTTTGTCACTCACATGTGGCCAGGACAGAGTGCGCCAGCGTGGGCAATCTTGTAGTGGTCAAACCCTACACCCGAAACCCCCAACAAATGCAGATGCTGCGCAGCACTTCTAGCAGCATATTGAAGCCAGCCTTCGACAAGAAGGTCGAAAGGCTGTCCATACTCGACCACCTGCACGGGAAGACACCACTAACAGCTCGGCAGAGCAAGCGTGCTGAGTACCCAACCGATCAGTTTCTGAAAAAACAAATAGGATTTCAACACCTCCAAAGCCCAACATGACGGCAAGGCACAGACAGCGAGACAGACAGAGAGAGAGAAAGGAACAAAAACAAGAGAGAGAGAGAGAGAGGTGTATGTGTATATATATATACACACACACACATATATGCGGGAGGGCTTTTAGAAGCAACGAGTATGAAAACCCAGATGTCCGACTTCAAGTAGCTTGCTGGGAGGTGCCGGGAAGGCTCCGGAAACTAATTGAATCATATCTGCTCACAGTACTCTCGTTCTTCTTGGAACTTGCTAATCATTTGCCAGAGAAATAGGTGTTGTTATGTTTCCTATGGACAGACAGGCTTGGCCCAGCGAAATAGGTTTTTCATGCGTTGTATAGACATGTCGTATCCCAAACCCCTTCCCAGTAGCTATACACATCAATAGAGTATGTGGGAAGGCTGGGGTTTATGCTTTCCCGCAGGCTCTGATGAATTTTGCAAATATGAGCCCTTCATCGAGGAAAGGCCTGTATTCTTTTGTGGTTGGCCTGTCGTGCCCACAGAATATCAAAGGAAGGAAGTCCGCTCAGTGCAGTACGACGACTAGTTTGATGCGAAACCGATTCTACTCGGCCAGGCCGGCCAAAGTATAGAGGTGTACATTGGCAAGCGAGACAAGAACCATGGGGAAAGTTACCCGCAAAAACGACTTTGGAGCCGCTGGCTCAATTGCAACCGGTTAGAGGTTTAGGGTTTAGGGTTTAGGGTTGAGGGTTTAGGGTTTAGGGTTTAGGGTTTAGGGTTTAGGGTTTAGGGTTTAGGGGATGTGTCCACCCCAGTTGCAAACCATTCACGTGGATCGGGAGCCCGGGCCCTCAAGTCCCCATAAACGCTGCTTTCCGCCCACTCAACCCCCAGGGAAAACCCTAAACCCTAAACCCTAAACCCTAAACCCTAAACCCTAAACCAGTGCCTTTCCCTTCAAAGATGAAGGCCAGTTGAACACATGGTTGCTGCGTCCACGCGCTGTCGGAAAACAAACGGCTCAGGTTCAAAAGAACCCGAAGCTTGGGACGTTTCCCCCTTACACTAACAGTCTTAATGGGGATCATAGTACCCGCCCCCTATCATCCCGATTAAGGACTGCACAAAGGGGAACATGTCAACCCGCGGCCCTTCACCGGAGGAACTCAAGACCTTGCGTTCTTGAATGCCCAGCGAAACCCCACATCAAAAGACAGCCCTCACGCGCCGAAGCTCGGATCAAGACCTAGAACAGCACAGCTAACATAAAGACGCTGAGCAAATTGGTGACATTGCTGTCGACAAGCCAGTCTAATCCAAAAAAGGCACCCCACAGCGTCAAACACTCTCACTCCCAAATCAACACAGATGCTTGCTTTGCAGCGAGCAACACTTGTGAGGCCAACTCCTCACTGCAGCTTTGAGTGAGAAGTGACGATGAACTGCGCGTTCAACTCTCCTTGCAGCTGAGGCCGAAGCCCTGAAACACACACAACATCACCGGTCGGCGCATGCACGTGGCAAGCACGTCCTGCTCTCAGCTGATGCCCATGCTGCGCATACTGCGCTTGGAGCACCCAAGCCGTACTTCTGAGGGTGGACCAGAACTACAGGACCATCCAGCCGCCACGTCTGAGGGCGGCGCACAACCTGGTTGACGCCGGTCAGGGCTTGCTGAACATCAGCTCGCTCCGGCGAGGCCACTCGCTCACTCACTCGCTCGCTCACTCACTCACTCACTCACTGGCTCACTCACTCACTCACTCACTGACTCACTCACTCACTCACTCCCTCACTCACTCAATATATACATATTTATATATCTATACATAAACAAAATATGTAGATGTTAGGGTTTACAGGGTTGAGGGTTTAGGGGCTAGGGTCTATATGTGAGAGGGAGTCGGAGATGGAGAGTGAACAGAAAGACGGGAGGCAGCCGCGACTACGTGATGGACATCGAACCGCATCGGCACCTGCGTCTTCTCCATTGGGCCCTGCACCACACAGCGCGCAGAGTTCGGAGATGGGTTTCGGGTTTCGGGTTTCGGGTTTGGTGCGAGCTGCTGCAAGATGCTTCGAGCGGCTCTGCCCCCAACCAATTAACGCACTTGGATTGTTGCCAGGTGTTGGCGCCTGCACGCTGATGTACATTGCTTCCACCTGGAAGTAAGAGTCGAAGGGGCACGGCGCCTGCCAAGAATGAAGCAGCCGCAAAGGCTCGAAAGGAGGGAGCCCCAGAAGCGAGCTGAAGGGGCCATGGTAGTCAGTCAAGAAGGGCTGCAAAAGAAACTACTTGGGAAGCTACGCGCACCAGAGAACAGCAGGTGCCGACATGCTGACCGCAGCTAACAAATCAGCCTCCGTGCCACGTCACAAGACCTCCCTGTTACTCTCTGTACCTACAGTTTCAGTTGATATACCTACTCATCAAGGGGTAGCTACTACTAAACTGTAGGCAAAGGGTCCCTAAACCCCAAACCCTAAACCCTAAACCCTAACCCTAAACCCTAAACCCTAAACCCTAAACCCTAAACCCTAAACCCTATTATCAACCCTAATAGAGTCCGGTCTTCCGATCGGTACCCTGCCTCGTCGCACCAGCACACCTTCAACTCCACAGCCTGTTGGCAAAGGCTCCAGTGTCTCCAGACCACTTCCAAGAAACAAAGGTTTAGGGTTTAGGGTTTAGGGTTTAGGGTTTAGGGTTTAGGGTTTAGGGTTTAGGGTTTAGGGTTTAGGGTTTAGGGTTTAGGGTTTAGGGTTTAGGGTTTAGGGTTTAGGGCAGAACGTGGACTCAATGAAAGCACGAACTGCCGGGCAGAGGGGGGGGGGGGGGGGGGGGGGGCGACATGAAATCTCGCTTGACGGCATCGGATTTCGGCCTTGTCCACAGCGACACCACGCCACACCTGAAACCCAGGGAAGCTTTCTCCACTGGCTCTAAGGGAATGAGGGAATTAAGCACCTTGTATACTCTATACTCTACACATACCCTTTTGTGGGATTCTGCAGGGTAGCTGATTCCCTCAAGCCCGACTACTCAGAACCAGTAGGATCAGCCATGACCCGTTCACCATCTTCAAGACCTTACTGCAACGTCAAGGCCCACGAAAGTCTCCAAATGCATCCATACTGGAAAACTTCCTAAACCCCAAGCTTCCTGAACTTGCCAAACTTCCCCCAAACTTACCCCAACTTCCCTAAATTTCCCAAACTTCCACTAACTTACTATTCCTAAACTTCTCTAAACTTCCTATACAAACTTCCCTAAGCGTCCCTAGAAACTTCCCATAAACTTCCCTAGAAACTTCCTATAAACTTCACTAAACTTCCTATAAACTTCCCTAAACTTCCTATAAACTTCCCGAAAGTTTCCCTAAAGTTCCCCGAAATTCCCAAAAGTTCCCCAAAATTCCCAAAAAAGTTCCCCAAAATTTCCCAAAAGTTCCCCGAAATTCCCCTGTGACGGGTGGAGCCTGGTAGCTCTCGGATCCCTCGTCCCAGGGGCCCATCCCTGCCCGCGAGATGTTGCCCGGGATGCGCCTGGCCGCGGCGTTACTGCATGTTAGGGGTTTAGGGTTTAGGGTTTAGGGTTTAGGGTTTAGGGTTTAGGGTTTAGGGTTTAGGGTTTAGGGTTTAGGGTTTAGGGTTTAGGGTTTGCTCCGATTAGGGCTTAGGGTTTAACATCATCTCCAACGACCCCTAAGGTCTGAACCCCCAAAATCCTAACCCCTGAACCCTAAATCCGATAAACTTTAAACGGGGAGGGGAGGTTTCCGACAAGAGGGGTACCCTTTTGGGGGTCCCTGTGAGGGGCTTCTGCATTTGGGGTGGAATTTGGGAAACACCCTCAATCCCCAAACCCTGCAGGCCCTGAACCCATACCCCCTAACCCTAATCCTCTAAACCCTAAACCCCGAGACACGAAAGCTCTTGGGCGCTTCGCGGCCTTTTTCTTTTTTCGCACAATCAGAGCTGACCCGGGCATGGTCACTCAAAGACCCCGTGGTTCTTAGTAGGGAATGAGGGAATTAGGGCCCTACAGTATACCAGTTAAAGGATTAAGGTACCTCATTCCCTCATTCCCTACTAAGAACCAGCCAGAAGACACCCAACCTAGGCACCTACGAAACTGCAGAGGTCAGGGTTTGGGGCTTGGAGTCTAGGCGCTCAATCCGTAGCAGCTTCGGGCTCTTCATGCCACAAGACCACATGAGCAACTAGAAAGGCGAGCCGTAACACACCCCTAAACCCTAAACCCTAAACCCTAAACCCTAAACCCTAAACCCTAAACCCTAAACCCTAAACCCTAAACCCTAAACCCTAAACCCTAAACCCTAAACCCATGCAGCCGTCACTTGCTACCTAGCATTTCCACGACACGCGGGCTCGTCGAAGCGCGTCTTGGCCGCTTTGTGCTTCGCTGGCCTCACGAAGGGGACACAAAAACGGAACAGCAGAGGAATTGGAAGCCTGCGGCGCTCCTAGACCCTATAAGCCCTAATCAATACTCTATTGGGGGTTTGCGATGTTAGGAGGCACCCTGTTGGGGGCTTTTTTATCAGGGGGTTCCTACTATTCGGGGTCTATATTCGGGGTCCCCGATTTTCGTAAACCCCCTATTCAACGTGAAGGAGCGCTCAAATCTCTGGCCGTGCCGATGTTCGCCAGCTACCTCTTACGAGTCTGGGCCTGCGCTTTAATTACAATCGCTCCAGCCAACTCCTGCCACCGAAGGCTCAAATTACTTGCTGCTGCTTGTCTTGTTTCATCTTCTGCTACTCACAGATTCTCTCGCCCTCCTAACTCACTTGCTTGTGCCCTTGGCTCTTCTTCCTCTCGCGCGCCTTCCACCTTTGTGATGAGCTTCGCCGCAAGCTTGTGCAACTTTCAGGGAAAGGCACATGGAACACCCCAAACCCTAAACCCTAAACCCTAAACCCCAAACTGCAGTGCAAGAGCGTGCGCTGAGACGTGCCGAGGCGTAGGGGGCTTTTCCCGCCTTGTGGCCACTGCAGAAGCGCAGCGTAACTTGCTTCACGGCTTCGATGGCCGTGGGGGTGGACTCCTGGTTCCGGCGTGGTTCTAGACAAACCCGAAAACCCTGAACCCGAAACCCTAAACCCCCTAAACCTTGAACCCTAAGATATATCTTGCAACAGCCAAACCGTCGGCATCGGCTGCAGCACCCTGCCGAAGAATCCACAGCCTCCCTACTCGATCTTCATGAGACATCAGGGACTAGGCACCCTACATCCAGGGTTTTGGGATCGAGGTTTAGGGTTTAGGGTTTGGGGTTTGGGGTTTGGGGTTTAGGGTTTGGGGTTTGGGGTTTGGGGTTTGGGGTCTGGGGTTTGGGGTTTGGGGTTTGGGGCTTTTTAGGGTTTAGGGTTTAGGGTTTCGGGTTTCGGGTTTCGGGTTTCGGGTTTCGTGAACCTCACAACTTCCCTGCTAAGAACCAGCCAAGCCAACCTGAGTCTGAGTCAAGGTGCCAACCCTAAACCCTAAACCCTAAACCCTAAACCCTAAACCCTGAACCCTAAACCCTAAACCCTAAACACCAGTCTGAGTCAAGGTGCCAACAGTCGACATCCTGCATCGGTGTCGGTCACCAGTTGGATCAGCTGGAGCCCATACCTCTACATGGCAGCGCGAAACCCTGAAACCCTAAAAGGCCCCCCTAAACCCAAACCTCCTAGCCCCCTGAACCCCTAAACCGCCCTAAACCCCCCCTTAAACCCCCCAAAACCCGCCCTGAGCCGTGCTAAACTCCCCTAGCCCCCCCCGAAACACCCTGAAACCCACTCAACCCCCTAAAGCCCTGCGAACCCAAGACCCTGCAAGCCTCGAAGTCCCACGCCTCTTTAACCTGGAAGCTCCCAGCTCCACAATCCGCTGCGCTTCAAGATAGGCTCTTGGGTTTAGGGTTTAGGGTTTAGGGTTTACCAGGGTTGAGGGTTTACTAGGGTTTAGGGTCTAGCGGGTTGCAAGAATCCTCGAAGCTCGAAGCTCTCCCTCGAAAGCTTCGGTTCGAAGGGTGGGGTTTAGGATTTAGGGTTGAGAGTTGAGGGTTGAGAGTTTAGGGTTCAGGGTTCAGGTTTAGGGTTTAGGGCCGTCAACAGTCACGGAAACTAAACCCTAAACCCTAAACCCGAAACCCGAAACCCTAAACCCCCTCCTTCGCTTTGTTGAAGGTAAGCGGCTCATTTTTGTTCATGGGCACGTCCGCATTCATGAGGCTTGTAGCAGTTTGCAGCACTGAGGCATGGCAATAAGCTCTGGCAGGATGTCCTTGGGTTTAGGGTTTGGGGTTTAGGGTTTTAGGGTTTAGGGTTTGGGGTTTAGGGTTTGGGGTTTAGGGTTTAGGGTTTAGGGTGTAGGCCTTCAGGATGATTCTCCCGACTTGTCATGGACTCTCAAGGAACTCAGGCCGCCTTCGCTCAGAGAGGGCCTGCGGCCTGCGGAAACAAACCCTAAACCCCAAACCCTCAACCCTCAACCCTCAACCCTAAACCCTCAACCCTAAACCCTAAACCCTAAACCCTAAACCCTAAACCCTAAACCCTGAACCCTGAACCCTAAAGCCCCCCAAGCAACTCCTGCATCCCAAGCTCGTGCAATCTCCTTGCCCAAAAGGGCCAGGTCGGTTCCTGCACGAGGAGAGGTTTAGGGTTTAGGGTTTAGGGTTTAGGGCTTAGGGCTTAGGGCTTAGGGCTTAGGGTTTAGGGTTTGTCGGTGTTTAGGATGTAGGACATGAGGGGGAACGAGAAACAGTACTTCAAGATTTATCCAAGGGACCGCAGAAGCCTGGAAAGGCCGAGACCAGCACCGGCACGTGTGGCTCCTGCATGGGGTTGCTTCCAGAAGCCCTAAAAACCCTAAAGCCCCAACACTAAAAAGGGTTTAGGGTTTCGGGTTTAGGGTTAAGCCCTAAAACCCTAAAACCCTGAAACCCTAAAACCCTACACCCTAAAGCCCTAAAGCCCGAAAACCAAACCCTGAAACTTCTCAACCCTGAACTCCACCACACCCTAATTAAACCCTCAATCCTAACCCCCTGACCACGTAGAGGCCGGTCCAAGTGCTTCTTGTCGATCTCCCCGAGCAGGTACAAAGCTTTGGACCGCAGGGAGGGGAGAGGGTCCCGCATTGCAGTCACCTTCTGGATTCAGAGGTTAGGGTTTAGGGTTTAGGGTTTGGGGTTTAGGGTTTAGGGTTTAGGGTTATTAGGGTTTAGGGTTTAGGGTTTAGGGTTGATTGAGGGTTTAAGGCTTCAGAGGGGTCTCAGGGGCTTGGGGTTTACATACAGGGCTTAGGGTTTAGGGGTCTTGGGGGCTTCGGGCTTCTGGGATAAGATCGAGCTTTCGATCAAGAACAGTCGTGAGCTAAAGCAGAGAGGAGGGTGGAGAGGTATGCAGCGCTTCTTGACAGCGATTGGTACTGGTTTCTGAGGGAGCTGTACATGTTTGAGTCCATGCACCTACCCAAAGAACACACCCAGACCCAAAGATCCTATTTGAGTCGAGGGGCCACACTGCCAACGAATGGCAACATGTGGTCCGTGTGGTTGAGCTTCCTCAAATGTCAACTTCGCCAACAGCGAAAGAACAGGCAGTTGCAAACCTAGTGAAGCAAACACCTGCGGACGCACACATAGAAACACATCACTGAAGCGCATAGTGCCGCTTCTTTTGCTTCATGTGAATAACACGTGTATAACGATCCATACACCCCCACTCCCACTCACACGCAGGCACGCACGCAGGAACGATGTGCCTTTAGCTGTCACACGGGACACCCAACATGTGCAGCGAAGGCGCTTCATCACGCGAGTCATGACCTGAGCCGCTGACAAGTATGACAACCGAAGCGGAAGACACCAAACAGCTCACGAAAGCAATGATCGTAAGCATGCTGGTACTAAAAACTATGGTAGCAATAGCAACGAGCAACAACAACAATAATCATACTAACAACACTCCCAATCACTCCTGATGTTTTGAACATAACATACGTACATAATAAACATCTCATCCAGCCGACACTGCGCCGGATGTGCTCCGCATGCTCGTCCTTGGGATCCTTTGAGTCCTTCTTTGGAGACTCTTTCGTCTCAGGGGCCTCAGCATTTTCAAGGGAAGTGAGTGACTGAGACGCGGGAGACATTGCGCGCCTAGGCGCCGCATCCTGGCCTCTATTCAAGGAGGAGGCTTAGGGTTTAGGGTTTAGGGTTTAGGGTTTAAGGTGTAGGGTTTAGGGTTTAGGGTTTAGGGTTTAGGGTTTAGGGTTTAGGGTTTAGGGCTTAGGGTGCCACAGCCGCATCACCAGCACCAGGCATGCCAAGCAACTGGGAAACGCTGGAAGAGACATGCGATCGCGTTTGTCAGCGCCTCCTTCCTGAGGAAAGGCCCAGGCTCGGCCATTACACCCTAAATCCCTTCAAAAGGGATTGTTTAGGGTTTAGGGTTTAGGGTTTAGGGTTTAGGGTTTAGGGTTTAGAGTTTAGGGTATAGGGTTTAGGGTTTAGGGTTTGGGGATAAGCCCTAATGGCCCATCCTGGGCACTTCACCGTGCAACTCGGTGCCCCATGCAAACGATTCAAATGCAGGTTGGGTCTTTGCCCCGAATACGGTAGGGGATCTGCTGCTATACCCCAAGACGGCATCATCTGCAGCAGAGGAACCCCAGAGAGGGTAGCCCTCAACCCTAAGGCCTAAACCCTGGAACCCAGCAGCTAAACCCTTAAAACCTGAACCCGAAACCCTAAACTAGGCCCTAAACCCTAAACTCTCTAAACCCTAAACCCTGAACCCTAAACCCTAAACCCTTTAAACCCTTTAAACCCTACTCTTTGAAACCGGCCGAGGGTCTCGGCACCGTCGGACGCGGTCAGCGCCGAGAGCGCGGCATCGATGAGGAGGTCGCCCTGCGTCTTTCTTTCGGGTTCAGGGGGTTCAGGAATCAGGGTTCAGGGTTCAGGGTTTAGGGTTTAGGGTTTAGGGTTTAGAACTTTAGGCGCTGGGATTGGAGTTTTGACGGCTGCTCAGCCGGCGTTGGAGAGAAGTCCTGGCCTCCACCGGGAAAAGCATCTCAGGCAAACGCTGAGCCTCACACATCTATAAGCCCTAAACCCTAAACCCTAAACCCTATAAACCTGAGAGAAGTCACAGCTGATCGCTGCAGATCACGACTGCACCTGCGAAATTGCAACCCCCAGATACTCCGAGAGACCAGGACAGCTGCGGATTGCGCTTGAATGCTGACATCCAGCTGCAGGAAGGCCTTCGCGGCTCCCCAAGAGAGGGTTTAGGGTTTAGGGCCTGAGGGCGTTCTATCAATCCCCTCCCCGCCCCAAAATTCGCGTGCCCCCCCCCCCCCCCAATCCCCAATCAGAAAATGCCACATGCTGGAAACGGTTTGGCGGGGCTGTAGGGAGTTGTCAAATTGTGGGCAGCTGCTCCTTCGCGGATGTTGCTCTGTGACTCTTTTTCTGTTTCAGCTCTGGGGTCGTCCCAAGCAAGGTTCTGTTGTGTTCCATGGGCGTGTTTCAGCTGTAGTCCTCATATCAAGAGTGTTTGAAAGGAGGGTTACACATCAACATTCCGGGGACGAACACCGAGATCCCCCCCCCCCCCCCAATCCGACCCTCAAGCGCGATGCACGAAGGGAGCACGCCTGTTCAGAGTGCTCAAAGCCTCACTCGCATGTTGGTCCTTGTGGCTTCTTGTAGGAAACCTACACCCTACACCCTGAACCCTACACCCGAAACCTCAAAAGCCCTAAACCTTAAAGCCCCAAACTTTAGCATCACCAAACCTTACAAGCCCTAAACCTCCCCAAACCCGAAACCCGAAACCCGAAACCCGGAACCTGAAACCCTAAACCCTAGACCCTTAACCCTAAACCCTAAACCCTAAGCCCTAAACCCTAACTCGAGTGCGTGGTTCCAAGGTATGTTGGAGCCCCCGTTCAATCCTTGAGTGCCGCCGCTCGGATCCAGGCGCTGTCGTCCTGGATCTGCGCCTGCCTGAGATGGGAGGGGTTTAGGGTTTAGAGTTTGGGGTTTGGGGTTTGGGGTTTAGGGTTTGGGGTTTAGGGTTTAGGGTTTAGGGTTTAGGGTTGGAGTGTGGAGGACTGTAGGGCCCCGACCGTTGGGGGCTTAGGGTTTAAGATTTAGGGTTCAGGGTTTAGGGTTTAGGGCTTAGGGCTTACCTAAGCCCCGCAAACTTTGGGTAGCATTTTGTAAGGCAGCACCTTGTGCGATAAGGGCTTAGGAAACTTGAGTACCCGTTTGGGTTCCTGTAACGAAGGATTATGATTATTATCTCCTTCTTCTTTGTTTTTTTTTTGGGGCGGGGGGGGGGGGGGTCATTGGGGATCCCTGTGCCCAAATCTGCAGGCCTAACCTCGAATCCACATCATTTTCTTGTTGCAGCAGCGAGCAATGTTGCCGCGTGGGCTGTGATCTCCCTCGGAAGCAGCTTGGCGAGAGTCTCCTGGCTTCTGAGCATGGGCAATCCCCAAACCCTAAACCCTAAACCCCTGTTTATCGGGTACCCCATAAAAAGAGCCCATGGTTTCCTAAACCCTAAACCCTAAACCCCAAACCCTAAACCCTAAACCCTAAACCCCAATATTGTCACGGGGTAGTGAGAGTGGGGGGCTTTGACAAATAAGTTCGCCCAGGAGCCAGGAGGTGCATCCTCGACACTTCGTCGCTCCTGCCAGCACTTGAGAGTCCTAACCCTAAACCCTAAACCCTAAACCCTAAACCCTAAACCCTAAACCCTAAACCCTGAACCCGAAACCCTAAACCCTAAACCCTAAATGGCGCAAGGAAATGAAAGCCCTCTCTGCCCCTGCCCCTCTGCTCCTGGCCAGACGCGAAGCCACGACGGAAGGGCTGAGAATGTCGTTTCGTGGATCCTGAAACCAGGTCTTCTGAGTCCCTCCGTGCCACGCTGTAGACACACACAGCAGGATGGGCTATTAGGCCTTAGAATCCCCATAATCAACCCTATGCAAGGGCCGTTTTAAGGGCTTATGGGGTATAATGGCGAATCCCCCTACTCAACCCTATAAAAGGGCCGTTTTAAGGGATTTTTATAGGGTAGAATGGCCCTGCTGGCAGTGTCCCACGTCGATTTTAAGCCTGCCAAGTGCTGCGCCTGCCGCGCGAAGTTGCTTGTCGGCTCATGGAGCCCGGGATGCCGGATCCTTGCAGGGTTTAGGGTTTAGGGTTTAGGGTTTAGGGTTTAGGGTTTAGGGTTTAGGGTTTAGGGTTTAGGGTTTAGGGTTTAGGGTTTAGGGTTTAGGGTTTAGGGTTTAGTGCTGCTGCAGGGCCTCAAATTGGGATCTTTTTATTCCCCTTATACTCACAGTCCTTGATAGGGATGATAGTACCGCCTATGATAATCCCTGTTAAGGACTGTTAGTATAAGGAGGAACATCCCGGGCGCCAAGCGAGAAAACCTTGAATCCCCTAAACCCTAAACCCTAAACCCTAAACCCTAAACCCTAAACCCTAAACCCTAAACCCTAAACCCTAAACCCTAAAGGCTACGCTCTCGTTGGCGACCGTCACAGAATCAGCGGCCTGCGAATGGTCTCAAGGACGGCCGTCTCCAGCGCCAGGTCACTGCCGAGCTGGATCCTGCACACATGCATGGTGGGTTTGGGGTTTAGGGTTTGGGGTTTAGGGTTTAGGGTTTAGGGTTTAGGGTTTAGGGTTTAGGGTTTAGGGTTTAGGGTTTAGGGCATATCGCTTAAGGCCCTTAACAAACCTAAACCCTATATAAACCCTAAACCCCAAATCCCTTCTTCCAAACCTTTCTAAGAGCCGAGGCACAGCGCCGCCTGGGCCTCCGCATGGCTGAGGCGGCTCACGGCCTGCAAAAAGGCAAACAGACAAGACTTCGGGTAGGGTTTAGGGTTTAAGGTTTAGGGTTTAGGGTTTAGGGTTTAGGGTTGAGGGTTTAGGGTTTAGGGCTTAGGGCTTAGGGCTTAGGGCTTAGGGCTTAGGGTTTAGGGTTTAGGGCTTAGGGCTTAGGGCTTAGAGGGTTTAGGGTTTCGGGTTTAGGGTGCCTATTAGATGGGTGCCTCTTGCAAAGCCATCGCGTCGGGCTAGTGTCTGCACATCTCGATATGACTATTTGCGTAAGAACCCCAAAAGAATATACAAACTAATCGTTACATTACCCTTAGTAAGGAATAGTAATTTTGGTTTTTCCGGGTTCTTAAGCAAATAGTAGTATATCAATCACTAAGCTAAGCTGGAAGAACTGAGTCCTAAACCCTGGAGGAACTGAGTCCTAAATCCTAACACCATGTTCCAGTCTGCTCTGGTGCCGATCAGCTCATGTGCTCTTGCTTAGCTGGGTCGGACTGAAACTGGAGCCCGTCTGAGGCGAACATGAAAGTCTGGCGGCCGGAACAGCGCCAGGTGCAGGGTGAAAGACTGCCACACCAGGATGGGCTGCTAGGCCTGAGAATATCCAGAATCAACCCAACAAAGGGCCGTTTTGAGCGATTCTAGGGTCAAATGGCCCACCCTGGCAGAGTGAAACCCTGACGGCAGGCTGCGCGAAGCTTGCGCCAGGCGCGCAGGAACGGCAGGACGTCGTTCACCGGCGTGGAGCCTACACAGAGCCCAGCGTTTAGGGTTTAGGGCTTAGGGTTCAGCAGCGTTGAGCGTGACACAGTCGTGAACATGGCACACAAGGGCATTGTCGGACCTATCTGGGACCCTCGTTACCTACAGTCTTATGGGTTATACCTACGAATTAAGGGCAGCCACGACAAACTGTAGGTGAATAGAGTCCCAGGTAGGATTTCGAGGTCGGATGCTCCTAAAAGGAGCACCTCCAGCCCCGCAGGTCTCGTTCCGCAAGATCAGGCCTGGGGAGTGATTCGTTTAGGTTTTAGGGTTTAGGGTTTAGGGTTTAGGGTTTAGGGTTTAGGGTTTAGGGTTTAGGGTTTAGGGTTTAGGGTTTAGGGGCTTTTGGGTTTAGGGTTTAGGGTTTAGGGTTTAGGGGGTTTAGGGTTTAGGGTTTAGGGTTTAGGGTTTAGGGTTTCAAGTCCACCCCCCCCCCCCACCCATGCCCCCTAATATAGGGGCCTGAAAGATTAGAAGAGGGTTTTGGGGGTAACTATGGTATCATTACAAAGGGACCACAAGGGAGTATTTATGATTAAGTATTCCGACCCCTGACCTTGTCAAAATCTGGTACTTGCATAGGCAGCTGTGTAAACCCTACACCCTAAACCCTAAACCCTAAACCCTAAACCCTAAACCCTAAACCCTAAACCCAGCGTTGCGACGCGTTGCCCGAACTTCCGAGACGTGTACGTAGGCAGAAGTAGTACTTGCCTGATTTGAACCCGTCTGCCAGCGGGCTTGAAACCTGCCCAGAAGCTTCACCCTGTCCGAAGCCGCGCGTGCGAAACCATGATTTCCAGCGTCATCCTAAACCCTCGGAACCCCAAACCGCAAGGCAGCCTCGATTCGGTATTCCGAGCGGCGAATGCGATCTGTCAATCGGAAGGCTGCGCCAAAGAGGGCAATGTCGAAGGGGACGCCAGCCTAGGAGGACTTGTCTCCATGTCGGGAGTACTCCACGTCAACTCCGCGCCCCAAACCCCAAACCCTAAACCCCAAACCCTAAACCCCAAACCCTCAACCCCAAACCCTAAACCCCAAACCCTAAACCCTAAACCCCAAACCCTAAACCCCAAACCCTAAACCCCAAACCCTAAACCCTAAACCCTCAACCCTCAGGCCCTGGCCAGAGCGTAGATGGTGCTCCCAGCGTTGGGGCCCACCACGTGCTGAGTGAGTCAAAGCACGTGGGGCGGCTGATTGCATTCTGCTTGCTGTTTCTTAGTCGGGAATGAGGAATTCAATAAGAGACCCTAAACCCTAAACCCTAAACCCTAAACCCTTAACCCCTAAACCCTAAACCCTAAACCTTCTATCCCCCCTAGACATCCTCCTTAGGAGATTATACAGGGCACCTGAGCCCCTCATTCCCGACCAAAGAGCCAGCAGGGGAACACGATGCGGGGGAGCTGAGCTGCAGGCCAACCGCCCGGCTTTGAACTCGTAGTCTTCGGGCACGTCGCACTCTTTCCCGACCTCATTTTGTCACAGATCGTAAATGATCATACCAGGGTTTAGGGTTTAGGGTTTAGGGTTTAGGGTTTAGGGTTTAGGGTTTATAGGATTTGGCGGGTTTCCCATGTTAGAGGGCACCTTATTGGGGGTCTTGAAAAAAGGGAACCCCTACTATTTGGGGGTCTATATTCGGGGGTCCCTCACTTTCGTAAACCCTCATGTCGTCATGCATGATTATGGCTTAGGGTTTAGGGCTTAGGGTTTAGGGTATAGGGTTTGCAATCGAATCGAACGATTGACAGCCTGATTGTTCTGCCCGGCTGGTGACCAGTTTCCGAAATTAGGGTACCTTACTGGGGTCCTTATGATAAGGGAATCTTACTATATGAGTGGTTATTTAGGAGCCCCCGATTTGCGTAAACCCTAAACCCTAAACCCTAAACCCTAAACCCTAAACCCTAAACCCTAAACCCTAAACCCTAAACCCTGAACCCCCAGCTGGTTGCCCTCTGAGGGCGGCTCGTTGCCGATGCAGTAGCAAACAATAAACCTCAGGTGGCAGGATGCCAGCAGTGCGGAGCCTAGGTGCGCTTGACACGAACTGGGGTTTGGGGTTTGGGGTTTAGGGTTTAGGGTTTAGGGTTTAGGGTTTAGGGTTTAGGGTTTGGGGTTTAGGGTTTAGGGTTTAGGGGGCTTCGAGCAGCACAGGGTGTTTACACATCTTGGTGTGATAGCCTCCTGCTCGCCATCTTCGAGTGCCCGGCTGCCCCACGATCGGCACCGACAGCTTTCCCAGATCGAACTCCCTGATGGCAAAGGCGGGAGGAGGCTGCACTACGGCGGTGAGGGTTTAGAGTGTATATAGGGTTTAGGGTTTGGGGTTTGGGGTTTAGGGTTTAGGGTTCAGGGTTTAAGGTTCAGGGATTCCCGATGCTTTTCTACCGCATCCAGCAAGCCGGTCACATTCAAGCATCATGACTGCTCGGGTACCTCTTTGCGGTTTCACCAGTTTTGGCCACTCTCAGTTCAGATGGATTTCTGCTACTTGCCAAAAAAAAGCAACAAGTGAACGGTCTGCCTCCGATGAGGGTTTAGGATTGAGGCTTTAGGTTCTTACGGTTTAGGGTTTGAAGAAGCCCAAGCCGGCGGGATCTTCCAAGAAATTGCAACAACTTCAGTGGGGCCGGACATTGCCCAAAAAACCTCAACCCTAATCAAGGGACCAAAGGAGGGACCCTAATTAAGGATCTTGGGGGCTATCTAGGGGCTATGTACGGCTACTTAGGTATATAAGGACTAAATAAGGTGTGTGTGGTTGTGTGTATATGTATGTATATATATATATGAGCATACAGATAGATATATATATATATATGTACCCCTTAAGCTAAACTCCAACTTGGTTGTGCTTTAAACCCGTTAAAGATGTGTACATGAACAGGTTCCCTTATAAGGAAAGAAGGGAAACGAAAAATTATACCAGAGCACAAGCCAGCCAAGCCCTCTGAGCCCACGGCTTGTAGAGGAAAAGCCGACTCCATACCGCCAGGTTGTACACCTCATCGCAGCTCAAAACAGAACCTCTGGCCTCCGCATAAAAGGACGATGAGTGAGCAGTCTCCTCCCTCCCCCAAGTTCTATGGGGTTTAGGGCTAGGGTTTAGGGTTTAGGGTTTAGGGTTTAGGGCTTAGGGCTTAGGGCTTAGGGTTTAGGGTTTAGGGTTTAGGGTTTAGGGTTTAGGGTTTAGGGTTTAGGGTTTAGGGTTTAGGGTTTAGGGTTTAGGGTTCAGGGTTTAGGGTTTAGGGCCTAGGGCTTAGGGCTTCAGGCTTAGGAGATATTCTCGGGAGGAGGGTTAGTATTCGGGGGGAGGGCTAGGGAAGATCACCACTAGCAGCATAGCACACGTGTGTGCCAGTCTTTGCATCGATCTGAGCCAAAGGCCTGTGGAAACTGATCTTCCAGGCCTGCAGCGACAAGGGGTTTAGGGTTTAGGGTTTAGGGTTTAGGGTTTAGGGTTTAGGGTTTAGGGTTTAGGGTTTAGGGTTTAGGGTTTAGGGTTTAGGGTTTAGGGGGACTGCTTAATGGAGCTGAGCTGTGCAAAATCCTCTGCGCATCTCATCCAGGTTCTACATAGAAAACAGCCTGCCAACAGCCCCGATACTAAACCCTAAACACTAAACCTCTTTGCCCAGCCACGGGCTGAACCGCACACAACCGGTTCGGTGAAGTAGTCGCGGGAGAAGGCCAGGTGATCCTGGGAATCCGGTGTGTCAGGGCCATATAAGGGTTTAGGGTTTAGGGTTTAGGGTTTAGGGTTTAGGGTTTAGGGTTCCGAGTTCAACCTTGGGGACTCAATGAGCCCCAAAACAAGGGTGTAGGGTTCATACACCTCAATCGGAGTTGTAGTAGCAAACCGTGTGTCAGAGTTCTCAACTTGGGGGACTAAGGAGCCTTAAAAGGGGTGTAGGGCTCATATACCTTAATCGGAATTATAGTAGTGAAGGGTACACTACCTAAAAAGGGGTGTAGGGCTCATTTACCTTCATCGGAGCTATAGAAGTGAAGGGTAGATGACCCAATTCTAGGGCATTTGGTCCCCAAGGAGTTCAACGCGTGCCATAATCAACTCCCAGCTCAACGTACGATAGGGGCCTTAATCATTAGAGTAGGTTTATTGTTGTTTTTTGTTTTGGGGGGGGGGGGGGGGGGTGCCAGAAAGGAATACTACTAGCAATTATTCCGACCCCGAGAGTTCGGCCCTGAACCCTGAACCCTGAACCCTGAACCCTGAACCCTAAACCCTAAACCCTAAACCCTAAGCCCTAAACCCTAAACCCTAAACCCTAAACCCTAGCCCTAAACCCCATAGAACTAAACCCTAAACCCTAAACCCTAAACCCCGCCTTCTCGGAGAAGCCGTTGCCTTGCACTTTCAGCGTGCACGGCAGGCCGTTGGTGCAGTAGAATTGCTGGCAGGGCAGGCGCAGCTCAACATGGGTTTTTTTTAGGGTTTAGGGTTTAGGGTTAAGGGTTAAGGGTTACGGGTTACGGGTTTAGGGTTTAGGGTTTAGGGTTTAGGGTTTAGGGTTTAGGGTTTAGGGTTTACGGACTCGGGCGTTTCCGGGTGGGGAGGGTCCGAGTCGTGGCCGAAAAGCAAGCGGGAAGAAACTCATTGCTGACCCCTCTGCAGCAGTCCAATTTGTGGAAGATGCACACGAGCTCAAGATGACCCAGCCCTAAACCCTAAACCCTACACCCTACACCCTAAACCCCTCAACCCCTCAACCCCTAAACCCCTAAACCCCTCAACCCCTAAACCCCTAAACCCCTAAACCCCTAAACCCCTAAACCCCTAAACTGCCGCCTGTACTTGTGGCTGCGGCCCTAGGGATCCGAAGATGGCTCGCAGGCGGTTGTTGCCGCGATCCTGCCGCTCTCGCACGTGGCTGATTAGGACCTAAACCCACAAGCGCCCACATGACGTAGGGTTTAGGGTTTAGGGTTTAGGGTTTAGGGTTTAGGGTTTAGGGTTTAGGGTTTAGGGTTTAGGGTTTAGGGTTTAGGGTTTAGGGTTTAGGGTTTAGGGTTTAGGGTTTAGGGTTTGGGGTTTAGGGTTTAGGGCTTAGGCTTTAGGGTTTAGGGTTTACGGTTCAGGGTATATACACTCACCAATAACAGGAAAATAGGCCCTGTGTCATATCGGAGTTCACGAAAACAGTGGACCCCTAAAATTGACCCCAAATAGCAGGATCCCTTTATCAAAAAATTGACCCCAAGAAGGTACCCCAAATTTCGGAGAAAAAAAAAAAAAAAACAGCACGCAACACATCGTTTGGCTGTTGTGGGGACCGACAGGCTGCAAAAAGCTTGGGTCTTGGGTTTAGGGTTTCGGGGCTGCTGTCCCCGAAGAACAGATTCCGTGTGGCGCTGTGCGCTGCCAGTTGGCTCGGATTCTCCTTGGCAGATGGCGAGAGTTCGGGCTTCCTCTGCGCGCCAAGAGTCCCCAGCCCCGCTGCTCAGACGATCTGAGTGCAGCACCATTGCACTTACCCAGCTCGCTAGCCTGTCACCTCAGTCCAGAGCATCAGAAGCACCGCGCCAACGCGGCACATTGTTGTTACTCTTGCTACTATTGTTATTGTTCTTGTTTCAACGAAAATCACAATCCTTGACTACGAATCATAACAATCACATAAACAACAATACTGATCATAATACTAGCAGGAATCCTTGAGGTCCTGGCCGAAGTACCCTGGTCGCGGTGGCTCCAGCTCGGCTAGCGCCTTCGGCTGGCGTCGGCCATGTTTCCCTCTCATTTCCCTATAGCTCGCTACATCCTAAAACCGAAACTAACTTAAACCCTATCATTTCCTAATCTTTCCCCGGGCCTCCGTCGTGTAGGCCTGTCCGGCGATGACCCAGTATTTGCCAAGCCTCGGCTTATTTCGAGCAAAGCCGGCTGGACAAAAATGCGGTGCACAAAGCGCTATAAACCCCAAACCCCGAAACCCAAACCCTACACCCCCCCCCCCCCCCCCCCCCCCCGCTACCCCCAAAAAGGGAACAGAGAGAGAGAGAGAGAGAGACAGAAAACAGAAGAAAACGAAGTCCAACCCAAACTCTACGCCCGAGCCGCAGGTCTTTGGCATGCTCCTTCACCAGCCGATATACCTCAGAAAGAAGTGCTACTGATGCGGGTCGAGTACAATGGAATCCATAGCCAGGGTCGAAGACCATGAACACATAAGCAGGGTTTAGGGTTCGGGGTGTTCCGGTGTACTATAGGGGCCTAAATGATTAGGATACGGTTTGGGGGGGGGGGTGATGCGGACCGAGGTCGGGGGGGGGGGGGGGGGGTTACTGTAGTAGACTTATATAGCCACAAGGGAATACGATTAGGAATCATTGCGACCACTATGCTAGGGTTTAGGGCTTAGGGAAGGAATTGGAACCCTCGGTAACAGCCGGCGTGATCAGCAAAGGATGTTGGTTCCTACTCATGCTCAGATTCGGCTTACAACCCAATACCCAACACCCAAGACCCTAGACTCTGAACCCTAGACACTGCCACTATCGAGCTACCGAGGCCTTGATCACTTGGACTCGTTAGGTGCTCACAGATGAGACAAAGGAGTAATGCCAAATAAAGCAATCTCTTGAAGAAGACCCTAAACCCTAAACCTTAAACCCTAAACCCTAAACCCCAAAAAACAGACCCTAAACCCGAAACCCTAAACCCTAAACCTAAAACCCTACGTAAACCTTAAACCCTATCCCCTAAGCCCTAAACCTGGAACCCTACATTCCCCCAAGCCCCGGGCGGAGTTGGACCGGAGACCTCCGCGGCCCTTCTCGCAGAGCGTGCTCGGACCTCATCGGTGTACGCAGTTGTGAGAGGGTTTAGGGTTTAGGGTTTGGGGTTTAGGGTTTAGGGCTTAGGGCTGAGGGATTTAGGGTCTTGGTTTGGTTTAGGGTTGAAGGTTCAGGGTTCCGGGCTTAGGGTTTAGGGTTCCGCGGGTGGTGGTCCAAGGCTGTCACCCTAAGACATGCCCAATTCCTGTGACGCAAAGGAGCCCTCGAACCTGGCGGGTTTGGGGTTTGGGTTTGGGGTTTAGGGTTTAGGGTTTCGGGTTTGGGGTTTAGGGTTTAGGGTTTAGGGTTTAGGGTTTAGGGTTTAGGGTTTAGGGTTTGGGGTTTCGGGCTGAGGGTTTAGGGTTTAGGGCTCAGGGTTTAGGATGCCTTTTTTGTAAAGTAGCGTTGACAACAGATGCAACGAGGGCACCACCGGAATCAAATGGCACATGCCACATTTCCACGCAGCACCGAACAAAACCAATTGATAACACAGTATTAAATTGCAGTGCGGGCCGAAAAACCCACATACACACGATCATAAGGATTCTACAAACATGATTGTCCAGAATCCCCTCCCTACGAAGAACCAGGACCCCACACCCCAAACCCTAACCCCAAAACCCCAAAACCCCAAGCCCCAAGCCCCAAGCCCCAAGCCCGAAGCCCTAAGCCCTAAGCCCTAAGCCCTAAGCCCTAATCCTAAACCCTAAACCCTAAACCCTGAACCCTAAACCCTAGACCCTAAACCCTAAACCCTAAACCCTAAACCCTAAACCCTAAACCCTAAACCCTAAACCCTAAACCCTACATGGCGGTCTCAGGCTGCTGCCGATAAATCGGTACCAGTCCCCGGCATCCAGAGCGCTTGCACACACCTGGGAGTGGCTCGACAAATGAGGGGTTATGGACTAGAGGTTCCCTAAACCCTAAACCCTAAAACCTAAACCCTAAACCCTAAACCCTAAACCCTAAACCCTAAACCCTCAAAACCTAAACCCTAATCCCTAAACCCTAAACCCTAAACCCTAAACCCTCAAAACCTAAACCCTAAACCCTCTCGCGCGGCTGCTGGAACTGTGTGCCCAGGAGCCCCACCCCTCCACAGCGAACGGCAAAGATTTCCCAGCCCTGCAAGCGAGGCTGTGGGCCCGAAAAACCCTGCTAGGGTTTAGGGTTTAGGGTTTAGGGTTTAGGGTTTAGGGTTTAGGGTTTAGGGTTTAGGGTTTAGGGTTTAGGGTTTAGGGTTTAGGGTTTAGGGTTTATGGGTTTAGGGTTTAGGGTTTAGGGTTTAGGGTTTAGGGTTTAGGGTTTAGGGTTTAGGGTTTAGGGTTTAGGGTTTAGGGTTTAGGGTTTAGGGTTTAGGGTTTAGGCTTAGGGTTTAACCCCTAAAGGGCTGTTTGGAGGTTTTGCTGTGGGCCAGTGATTCCAGTAGCATAGGGTGCAGGATCCCGACCTACTTCTCGCTTAGAGGAACCCCCCAAAAAAATCAAGAAATAGTCCTTCCTATGTAGGCGCAATATAGGGGGTTTAGGGTTTAGGGTTTAGGGTTTAGGGTTTAGGGTTTAGGGTTTAGGGTTTAGGGTTTAGGGTTTAGGGTTTAGGGTTTAGGGTTTAGGGATGATTATCCAGTTGTTGTGGGGGTTCTTAAGCAAATAGTAGCAGGCTTTGGGGCCCCTTTGGGTCTCGACTGATCCTCTCCTCCCCCTCTTTTGCGTCACTTCGCGGCCACACGTCCATGCTAACACCCGGAGGCCTCTTGGCCTGGCGCTTTTTACGTGAAACAGCAACTGTCAGGGTTTAGGGTTTAGGGTTTAGGGTTTAGGGTCTAGGGTCTAGGGTCTAGGGTTTAGGGTTTAGGGTTTAGGGTTTAGGGTTTAGGGTTTAGGGCTTAGGGCCAGTTTAGGGGGCTTCGGGTCCCTGACGTCCCCTTCTGCATCTGCAAGCTGGAAAAGTTGGCATGGGACGACGTCAAGGGGCACCGCTATCGACTACAGCGGAGCAGGGCACATCAGCGGAACCACGTAGACCTGTGCAAGCTAGGAGTGACTGGCGAAAGTGAAAATGCAGATGCCCCGGAACCCTAAAACTGGGGGTCTTTTACGATATGATTACCATAGTGACTATGAATATGAAGCCATACCCCTGTTTAGGGTTCATGTGGGTTACAAGGTGTTTGAGCAATCTCCCGCCTGCCCGGGTTTCGCCAGCGCCTCGTTCAGTTCAACTTCCAAATGACACAAAAGACGGATCTTGGCACACAGCAGCTGGCAGCAGTTTATGAGGCTTTCGCCCATGTTAACGAATCGGATGCTGAATTTGGCAGCAACTGACAGTTGGTTTGCGGGAGGTGGTCATAGCCTATGAGTGCCATACAGCTGTGCGGCGTGAGAGCCAAGTGCTGATGTGCCTCGAGGTCGGAGATCTTGGCCAGGGTTGTCCAGGAGGCAAGGTCATTGGAGCCTCGCACCCTAAACCCTACACCCGAAACCCTAAACCCTAAACCCTAAACCCTAAACCCTAAACCCTAAACCCTAAACCCTAAACCCTAAACCCTAAGCGCGCGAGGGACTGGGGGGGGTGTGACTGGTTTGTCGGACCGCACCATGGGACCCTGCCTCGGATGTCGAAAGTCTTGGGATTCCCGACTTTGCCAGAGACCTTCAGAAGAAGGACGGTTTAGGGTTTGGGGTTTGGGGTTTAGGGTTTAGGGTTTGGGGTTTTGGGCTTTGAGTTTTGGGTTTTGGTTTAGGGTTTAGGGTTTAGGGTTTAGGGTTTAGGGTTTAGGGTTTAGGGTTTAGGGTTTAGGGTTTAGGGTTTGGGGTTTGGGGTTTGGGGTTTGGGGTTTAGGGTTTAGGGTTTGGGGTTTGGGGTTTGGGGTTTGGGGTTTAGGGTTTAGGGTTTAAGGTTTAATTAGGGTTTGACCGAAGGTAAGGGAAGCGCGGGCAGGGCCTGGGTGCTGTTGGCACCAGACTCCCCCAAGCTCGAGGTCAGAACGACTTCCCGGACCTGGGCTCAGCATGGCCATGCAAGTCCCCTTGTTGGTGGCTCGGCTTACGATTTTTGGGGGCCTGTTGTTTTGGGTGTTAGAGTTTAGGGTTTAGGGTTCAAGGGTTTAGGGGCTTAGGGGTTTTTAGGGTGTAGGGCAATGCCACGACAAGGCGCGTGGTGCTCCCCTGCCAGGTCCAAGATTAACTTCGCAGCGAGGGAGACTCCATCCTCAGCAGGTGGCCAGGTCTCGAAGGTGCGCTAGGGTCCCTGTTTGGGGGTTTAGGGTTTAGGGCTTAGGGTTTAGGATTTTTGGGTTAGGCTTTAGGTTTTCCTGGAGATATGCCTCTGTATTGTAACGGGAACCCCGACCAGCTTGTGAGAACTGTGAGAAGTCATGTGGCCTGCTACCATTGGCCGGCAAGAAGACTTCATCCTAAACCCGAAACCACAAACCCTAAAAACCCTAAAAACCCCAAAACCCCAAAACCCTAAAACCCTAAAACCGAAAACCTGTCATCCCCAACAGCACGCCTGGCGCTTGCCATTGACCACTGAGTCGTCCTTCACCGTCGAGTAAGAAGGATCTGTCACGACCTGATGTTCTAGACCCCAAATAGTAGGGCGTAGGGTTTAGGGTTTAGGGTTCAGGGTTCAGGGTTCAGGGTTCAGGGTTCAGGGTTTAGGGCTCTGCGTTCGGTTCCTCTTTTCAGGAATCGGATGCAGGCAAAGACAATGCTTAGCGTTTAGAGCGTCCCATAGCTTCAGGCTTCCACACAGGCCCTTTGCTAAGACTAGCTCGTTTCCGCCTTCAGACTCTTCTGAGTTCTTTGTTTCTGAATTGCGTTCCTCAGCAGCACGGCTTCTTCTCTTCTTTGCGTTTAAAGGGTCCCCTGCTGCCTTCCACCCATGGGTTGCGTCTCAAAGAGCCCCTGCGGCCGTTGTTGAAATTGCCTTTTCCCCAGTGTCCCAAAGACTGGCGGGATCCGATTACAACTTCTGGTGGTCTATCTTCGGCAAGGGGATCGCCGTACCCCATAAGGGTCTGGTTTAGGGTTTAAGGGGGGTTTAGGGGGTTTAGGGGGTTTAGAGGGGTTTTGTGAGGGAGCTTAGCAGTTTAAGGGTGCGGGGGATATCTCCCATCCCCCGCAGCTCAGGCTTCGGCACTGGTTGTCACATCACCATCGACCACCTGGACAAGGTGGGTTGAGGGCAGTCTGCAACAGCAACTGCTCGCACTGATCCTCAGCAACCTGCCTAAACCCTAAGCCCTAAACCCCCAAACCCTAAACCCTAAACCCTAAACCCTAAACCCTAAACCCTAAACAACCAAACCCTGAGCCCTAAACCCGGAACCCTTCGGATCAATCTCTGCTCAGATTATGGGCTTGGAAGTCCATGAAAGTGGGCTCCGGCAATCCCAAGTCCTGCATTAGTGCATTTCCCAAAAAAGAAAACTAGGGACGTCAGGGCACCTAACATCCTTGCTGAAAGAACTCCCACTAAGGGGAGCAATATTTCGGGAAAAACCACTGGTTGTTCCATGCTTCCAGAACCTTTCTTCAAAGCATCAGCGCCGGCCCCCTGTCTAGGGTTTATCAGGGTTTCCCTGAAACCGCAGCACGGCCTGAAGGGCATCAGTCCCCCGCGCCATCAAGCCTAACAAGGGTCAGGAGGACGTGCCTAAGCCTACCTGAGTGGCATAGTTAGCCAGATGGGTACAGCAACATCAGTCGGGTCTTCTGAGAGGGAGAGAGAGAAAGAGAGAGAGAGAGAGACAGAGAGAAAAAAAGAGAGGGAGAGAGAGATCGCTGTCATCAAAACATGCTCAGAAGAGCAGCTCCGGGCTATGCGAGGACGCCCATCAAGCAAGTACACATTGCTTGCATCTGCCGGGATGTCCTCAGCTGGGGCCACTCCTAATTAGTGCCGGAGGCTTCGTCTCGCACATAACAAGGCTGTGTGGCTGACATCTCTGGGTGTAGGGTTTGGGGGTTGAAGGCTTAGGGTTTCTTGGTTGCTTCTCAAGCCCCCAATACAAGTTTAACTTTTAGCTCCCTTAATATGAAGTTAGAGGAACCCTAAACTTATAAAGTTGTAAAGTTGTAGTAAAGCCCCACCTAGGTTTAGGAACGAACCCACAACGTCCTACACTTCCCGAAGCTTGCATAGGGGATGAGGCTTGAGGGTTTAGGGTTTAGGGCTCGACCCTGCGGGCCCTTACCGCACCAGGGCCGCAAGCGCCCAAGCAAATCCCGAAACCCCAGTGCAAGCCGAAGACCAAACTGCCTAAACCCCCAACCCCAAACCCTAAACCCTAAACCCCTAGCCCTACAGCCTAAACCCTAAACCCTAAACCCCAAACCCCAAACCCCTAAACCCTACACCCTAAACCCTACACCCTAAACCCCAGTCCGAACTTGTACTGCGGGCCGCGGCGCGATCTTGCCGAAGCGGCCCCTCAGCTCAAGCTCCGCCAGCTTCCACGCGGCCTCCTCGGCATCCGTCGCCTTCTCCACATCCAGCATGAAGTAGCCTTGCTTTTGGGGGTTTTAGGGTTTTAGGGGTTTTAGGGGTTTGAGGGTTTTAGGGTTTTAGGGGTTTTAGGGTTTTAGGGTTTTAGGGTTTGAGGGGTTTAGGGTTTTAGGGGTTTAGGGTTTTAGGGGTTTAGGGTTTTAGGGTTTTAGGGTTTTAGGGTTTTAGGGTTTTAGGGTTTTAGGGTTTTAGGGTTTTGGGGTTTTGGGGTTTTGGGGTTTGTAGGTTTTAGGGTTTTAGGGTTTGTAGGTTTTATAGCCAGGCTTTATAGGGTTGAGGGTTTAGGGTTGAGGGTTTATGGAGTTTGTAGGTTTTATAGCTAGGCTTTATAGGGTTCAGGGTTGAAGATTAGGGTCTGGAGGGTTTAGAGGGTCTGGGGGGTCAGAGGTTGGGTTTGTAGGGTTTATAGCTAGGCTGTTTAGGGTTTAGGGCTTGAAATCAGGGTTTATAGGTTTATAGGGTTTCTCGGGTTTATGGGGTGTAAAGGGTTTATAGGATTTATAGGGCCTCCCATTGGGGGTCAGAGGTTGGGTTTGTCGGGTATGTAACTAGGGGTTATAGGGTTTTGTAGGGTTTAGGGGGTCAAGATGAGGGTTTTGTAGGGTTTGTAGGGTTTATAGGGTTTGCAGGCTTTAGAGGAGTTGTAGAGGAGTTGTAGGGTTTGTGGGGTTTACTGGGTTTGTAGGGTTGACAAGCTTGGCAGAGACCAACCCCTGGACTTCGGCTGCGGCTCACGAGATTGCCGGAATTGAAGGAAGAGGTCATATTATCACCAACCCTTGCCTACACATGCCCTCTGTTGTCATGCACGTCATGCACACTAAACCCGAAACCAGAAACCCTAAACCCTAAACCCGGAACCCCGGCCCCAAACCCTAAACCCCTCGTTCGAGACCACCGTCAATGCATCTCGGGGGCGAAAGGGGCACTGAGCTTCACCACACAACTTGGTCGCGGCAACGATGTCGTCACCTGCCAGTTCGGTGTGCATCCGACAAAGGCCGCAACCGTCACAACAAGCAGAGCATCTTCGGGCTCAGGTAAGGGGGGTAGGGGCAGGGGGTAGGGGAAAAGGGACAGGGGGTGGGGGCAAGGGGGCTCCGCTGCTGATGCCACGTACCCATACTGGCAGAGAGAGTGCTGAATGCCGGCTACAATTGGCTTCTCAGCGATGGTGCAGAACTTCTCTTCTCTGGCTCTCTTCTTGAGGGTCTAGTTTTTAGGGCTTAGGGTTTAGGGTTTAGGGTTTAGGGTTTAGGGTTTAGGGTTTAGGGTTTAGGGTTTAGGGTTTCGAACAGAAGGAGAAGGAATCTGTGGGCAAGAGTGGCACCTGTCTCGGGTGGCATGTAGTCATTCTTCCAGGGCCGCGCCAGGAGGAAGCACTCGCCTGCTTCTCAGGTTTAGGGTTTAGGGTTTAGGGTTTAGGGTTTAGGGTTTAGGGTTTAGGGGCTAAGCCATGCATGCCCTTCGCCCGAAGCCATATCTTTGTGACCTTAAACCATCAGCCCTGAACCCCAGAACCTTAGACCCTAAACCGCTAAATTCCCTCAAACCCTCTAACCCTAAACCCTAACCCCTAAAATCTAACACCCTTAGCACCACAACATCCTAAACCCTAGACCCTAAACCTAAAACCCTAAACCCTATAACCCGAAGTTCCTTTCACACTCTCACCCTAAACCTCAACAGCCGAACACCCTATCCCTAAACCCTAAACCCTAAACCCTAAACCCTAAACCCTAATTAAACCCTAAACCCTAAACCCTAAACCCCCCAAAAAAGTACCGAAGCTTCGGAGGCGCCTGTGGATTCGCGGTACAACAAAGAGCGGCAGCCGGCTGTCTGCGAGCAGAGGCAGGCGCAGTCGTCGTACCACCTCGAGGGTTTAGGGTTTAGGGTTTAGGGTTTGGGGTTTGGGGTTTAGGGTTTAGGGTTCAGGTTTTTAGGGTGCAGGGTTTGGGGCTAGGTTTTTTTGAGGCTTTAGGCTTTAGGCTTTAGTGTTTACGTGTTAAGGGCCCAAGCTGATAAAGGGCAGATTTGAGCCCATTTGAGGCGTTATGCCTCCCCCGCCCCCTTCCCTTTGCACTTGCTTTATGATCAGCGGAATTCGCGAAATTTGTCTCCAAGAGCAGGCCAATCGACAGTAGTAATGCGAATGGTTCGCTTCATCACACCAGCTGCTAACAGTAGTGCCCAACAGTACTACCTGGCAATAATAAATAACCCAAAGCTATGCTACCAAAATGACACAATCAGGAAACCCCAACCCCTAAACCCTAAACCCCAAACCCTGAACTCTGTTGTGCGCTGTGTCGATGTCTCTGCCGACTGCAGCAAAAGCCACGGCTCCATCGACTCAAGGACGAGCTCCGCCACGGGCGCATCCGCACCTGAGCTCTTTTCATAGGGTTTAGGGTTTAGGGTTTGGGTTTTAGGGTTTAGGGTTGAGGGTTTAGGGTTTAGTGTTTAGGGCTGAGCTCTTTCGTTGGAGATATTCTGGGGTTTAGGGCTTCGGGTTTAGGATTTGGGGTTTGGGGGTTTGGGGGTTTGGGGGTTTGGGGGTTTGGGGGTTTGGGGGTTTGGGGGTTTGGGGGTTTGGGGGTTTGGGGGTTTGGGGGTTCAGGGCTAAGGGGTTTAGGGGTTTAGGGGGTTTGGTGTTGAGGGGTTTGGGGTTTAGGGGTGTAGGGGTTCAGGGTTGAGGGTATACAGGAAGGTTCTCTTGTCTGGCTCTTCAGATGTTTGCTTGTGATGACAGATGCAGCAACAGACGGCCGGTGGATTGTGGCAGCCCCTGCACGCCCTAAACCCTAAACCCCAAACCCTAGACCCTAAACCCTAAACCCTAAACCCTCCTAAGCCCTAAACAGCAGCAAGCATGCTCACTAAGTGCCGGGGCGTAGTGGAGGCAGCATGCGGCACTGCCCATGGAGCTCTTGCACCTGCGTCAATTCAATGTTTACGGCTTTGGGTTTGGGGTTTTGGGTTTAGGGTTTAGGGTTTGGGGTTTGGAGTTTAGGGTTTAGGGTTTCGGGTTCAGGGTTTAGGGTTTAGACTTTAGGGTTTAGCTGTCAACTGTTGCGCACCTCCCCCAAGCTACACTAGTGAGGTTCTGCACAGTTCCCGTTAAGTACGGTAACTTGCCTTTCCGCTGAGTCGTCGGAGCGCTCTACCAGGGCACCAGGTGCTGCAATGAGGGCCTGTGGGCACTGTAAGAAATGTGAGGGCAACGCGCTCAACCCTCAACCCTACACCCTAAAGCCCGGCGCCCCAAACCCTAAACCTTCAGCCCTAAACCCTCCAAGCCCCCCCAAACCCCCCAAACAACCCCGCCGTGGACTCCTACAAAAAGCCCAAGCCCTGCGCCTCCGAACCACGGCTCGCCTCCGATGGCATCTCCAGGTCTTTGAACTTCTGAACCTGGGCTTTCTAAGGTGTCCGGTTTGGAGTTTAGGGTTTGGGGTTTGGGGTTTGGGGTTTGGGGTTTGGAGTTTGGGGTTTGGGGTTTGGGGTTTTAGGGCTTAGGGTTTAGGGGTTTGGGGTTTCGGGTTTGGGGTTTGGGTTTGGGGATTTGGGGTTAGGAAAGTGCTTTTGCAGGTTGCTTTGTGGCGTTGTAGGGCTTCTTACAGGATGTCTACGGCTTTTGTTAGGGTTTGTCGGGAGTGCGGAGGGTTTGGGGTGGTTGTGGGGGGCGGTTTTGGGTCAAGTGTCTGATTGTCTCTCTATTTCCCTGGGGGGTTAGAAGATTCTGCAGGGGTCTTCTAGGTGACCTATGGGGCTTGCAGGGCTTCTTGGGCTCATAGGGCTCATAACGCTGATAGGGGTTTGTGCAATTTCAGAGATGAGGGTTGAAGAACATTCAAATATCTCCTCGCCTCTTCAGCTCAGCACGGTGCCAACGTGCCTTCTGAAAGCCAAAGAGCCCTTCAATTGAGGGCTATAAGGAGGGACCCCTAGAAGGGACCCTTGATCTCATTCCCCTATACAACCCCTATATACACCTTATCTGGTCCCTTATAAGGGTCCCTCCTTTAGTCCCTTATTCAAACCCTAAACCCTAAACCCTGCACCCTAAACCCTCAACCCGAAACCCTAAACCCGAAACCCTAAACCCCTAGCCAGGCCGAGAATCATAAAGCTCCACCTGCTGCACCGCTTCGCCAGGGCCTGCCGGTCCGCGCTCACCATCGTGGGGGTTTAGGGATTTTACGGCTCAGTGCTTTAGGGCTAGGGTTACCCTAAACCCTAAACCCTAAGCCCTAAACCCTAAACCCTAAACCGTGGCTTAGGGTTCCGGGATTTGAGCGGTTTAGGGTTTAGGGTGTTGAGGGTTTAGGGTTTAATTCGGGGTGTTGAGGGTTTTGGGCTTCGGGTCCCAAGTGCGGGTTGCGGTATCATGCAGGGCGCTTCCAGCCTCGCCACTTTGCTGAAACAACTTTGAAGCCTAAACCCCCTATGTAAACCCTAAGCCCTAAACCCGTTATTCCCTCTTTAAGCAGGGTACATATAAAGGAACATATGGTACCTTATTCCCGGATTCCCAACTATGAGCTGATGAGTAAAGGGCTGCTGACCCCCAGCTCTTTGGATTCAGGACAACAAGGACAAGCTGCAGGCAGAAAAGGCGCCTCGCCCGACTTAAGTCTTCAGGAGGACCGTGCCGCTTCTAGGTTTAGGGTTTGGGGTTTAGGGCCTAAGTTTAGGGTTTAGGGTTTAGGGCTTAGGGTGTAGGGTTTAGGGTTCAGGGTTTAGGGTTGAGGGTTTGGAGTTTCGGGTTTATAGGGGTTTGGAGTTCAGGCCTTCTGGGCCGCGCACATATGCATGTCGACATAGAAATACACGTAGACGTTGCTTCTGCCCATGTACGCGTATGTTGCGTGTACGTAGCTGTCTATACATGTGCCGACGCAGCCTCTGATACTACATCTGGGCTGCCTGGCAGTACACACACACACACCAGAGTTGGAACGCTTCAACTTTAAGCTACCCTACTCCTCAAACCTTGCACCCTAAATCCTGAACCCTAAACCCTGTAAACCATTAACCCTAAACCCTACACACCAAAACCCTGAACCTTTATGTCGCAGCGTGGCTTGGGGACAAGTGCTTTGGAAACTTCCCCCACGCGGGTCCTGGAATTGCGCTTCCCGATGCCTCCACAAGCCCAACCGCATAGTTCCTTGCTCCAGCAGCTCTAACACCCTACACCCTTAACCCTGGCCCTAAACCCTAGACCCTAAACCCTAAACCCCAACCGGCACCCTATGGAGCTTAGGAAGTTTTGGGATCTAGGGGTTCGAAAGCTTAAAGAGTCAGGTCTGGGGCTTAGGAAATAGGAGCCAACAGCAAAAAAAACACGAACATACACATACATATACATATATATATATATATACATATATACGGACTGCATCGAGCAGATACATAGATGCACAGAGAATAGAGAAAGAGAGAAAGGGAGAGAAAGAAGGAGAGATAGAGAGAAAGAGAGCAAAAACCAGAGAGAGAGAGAGAGCAAAAGCGAGAGAGATAGAGAGAGATAGAGAGACAGAGAGAGAGCTAGAGAGAGATAGAGGGAGATAGAGAGAGGGATATTGGATTATGGACACGTCTTTGTGCCGTTTCTAGCTGCCGCATCTGCATGAACTGACGCAACCTACATATTCAGCTCCTCTGCCTTACTAGTACGGCAGTGACTGCCAAACGCCAGTCAACTTGGCCCAGGGGCGTGTGGCTGGCCGACATCATCGCCGAGCCGTCGAGGAGCGCCGCACCCTTGCCAAAACGGAGGCCACCCCATCCTTGGGCAAGGCTAAACCCTATACCCTAAACCCTAAACCCTAAACCCTAAACCCTAAACCCTAAACCCTAAACCCTAAACCCTAAACCCTAAACCCTAATCGGCCCTAAGACGCGGCTCTTGCGGCAGGCTCCGGAGCAACAAGGGTTTTGAGGGTTTAGGGTTTAAGGTTTAGGGTTTAGGGTTTAGGGTTTAGGGTTTAGCGTGAGGAACCCAAGCAGCGGGTGGAAGCCACTCACGCCACAAGGACTCTGGTTCCGCTCTTGGTAGGGAAATCGGCTTTCAGAGCTACAAAGGAATGGAGCCATGATCCCAAAACCCTCTACCTGCGACTCTACGTTCCTACAGTTAAGCAGTAGCTACCCCGAATTAATATGTATGACCCATAAAACGGCAGGTAAAGAGGGTCCCAGGTAAATTCTAAACCCCAAACCCACCCCAAGATGATCTCTAGCTTGCTTCTTGTGGTCACTTCTCTAAAATCTATGGTTTCTTTTGGGGTCCTTATTCGAAGGCGGCGCCTCTTATTTTGGATACCCCAAAAGGGGCCACATATTTGGAGAACTGAGCTCTTGTACCGCCGAGCATCCGTAGGACGTATGCGGCGCTTCGACAGATTGGTAGCCATCCACGCGGCCTTTGGCAGCTCGCGGGGGGTTTCAGTGGGCTAAGGGTTTAAGGGTCAAAAAGGTTTAAGGGCTTAAGGGCTTAAGGCGTTCAGGGGTTTAGGTGTTTAGAGTTAGTTTAGAGTTTAGAGTTTAGGGGGGTTTAGGGCTACCTAGTTGACGTTGAGCCTGCATGCAGAACTGAACTGAACTGAACAGAGTACTCCGAGCCTCCAATCCCCCAAACTCCCCCAAACTCGCTCCCCAAATTCCCCAAGACTCCCTCAAAACTCCCCGAACTCCCCCAAATTTCCCAAACTCCCCAAACTCCCCCAAATTCCCCAAGACTCCCCCAAACTCCCCAAGACTCCCCAAAACTCCCCGAACTCCCCCCAAACTCCACCCACAAATTGCCAAGTGTGAGGTGCCACTCTGCTCCGTCACAGGGTTGCTGGTCTGACGCCAGATCTGATCAACCAGCCCGTCCTGAAATGGAGCCCTAAACCCTAAACCCTAAACCCTAAACCCTAAACCCTAAACCCTAAACCCTAAACCCTAAACCCACAAAGCCTAAGGGTGCCCCTAAACTCCCATTAACAAATCCCTCAACACCCCAGACATGAGAGAACCCACCTAGCGGCACACTCACGGTCCTTGGGCCAGCTCAGCCTGAAGGTGAAAACCTCGGCGTTCGAGTCAGCTACCAACCCTTGGGGAGCCCTTGAACCCTAAAAATAGGGTTTAGGGTTTAGGGTTTAGGGTTTAGGGTTTAGGGTTTAGGGTTTAGGGTTTAGGGTTTAGGTTTAGGAGCTACCAACCCTTTGGGGAAGGGGGTCATGTACCCTGACGACCATACTTCCTCTAGTAAGGTATATGAACCACAAGCCCTTTTAGGGTTCTTCTAGTCTTCAAGGTCTCAAGGGCCCGCTGAGAGACTCGGATCTGCGGACGCAAACGTGAGCAGAACAGTTTGGCCTTGATCGGCTTCAGTCTTCAGGCGCCAGTCCGATTCAGTCCCAGATATTTGGGAACTCAGTCAGAAACTCGCAACTCGCCACTCGAACAGCCTCTGAGAGGCAGACGCGGTGGAGGGTTTGCAGGCTTCGCGGCACCCAACAACTTCAAAAAGTAAGCTGCTTCGGGTACAATCGCTAATTACACTAGATGTAGGATATAACACAGTTTATTACATAACATGTGTATACATGTATATACATATGAGAAGTCTATATAGAATATAACGTATAACAAATAGGTATATCTTCAGCACTCAAGTTCTGTATTGCCGCAGCTCTGCGTCGCACACTCAGTGCTAGCCGCGGAAAGTGCTGTTAACAGAGCGGTGGCCAAGTGCCACAACGCAGAATGCACGAATGTGCTGCCCTGCCACATGGGATGCGGCCCAATACCTCACATTAAAAAAGTTGAGTCGATTCATCACACACACGTCCACTGACAGCCTTCAGCTGCCAGGAGGTGGAGCAGTGCTTTAAAGACTTTGTGCGAGACACTCAGCATGCAAAATGACACATCGCGGACGCAATCGGTCGATCTAAACTCCTTCATTCCAGAACTTTCGCGGACCCGCGAAGGGGCGGGTGCCTGCTCTCAGCCCAACTTTCAAGCCTCGAACCTCGGAACTTTCGAGACCCACAACCCTAAATCCTAAACCCTAAACCCCAAACCCTAAACCCGAAAGGGAGCCGTGGCAAAAAAGCACGGCAGACGCTCGGCCACTAGGCTTATAGGGTCCTTAATGTTCAAGGGGGGTCTGAAACCCAAATTTCCCAACCCTGCAGACCTTTCTGAAGACCAAGGATGTGGGTCCGGAACAGGGCATACGAGTCCCTAAACCCCTAAACCCCTAAACCCCTAAACCCCTAAACCCCCTAAACCCCTAAACCCCTAAACCCCTAAACCCCTAAACCCCTAAACCCGAGTTTGGACTCTAAGTTGCTTTGAGAGCCTGGAAGCTAGTGGCATCTCATGACAGAACCTGGTTTACAGAAGCACTCTCGCGAACCGAAAGAAGCAACTGCCTTTCGCAGGTGCCATCGCGTATCAGTCGCAGAGGCACGTGTTATTTTATAGTAGATTGTGATACAGCATATATATATATATATGTATATAATTACATATATATATATATATACATATATTATCATGCATACACACATATATACATATACACATATTCTCAAGAGGGAATGTAGTGTGAATGCTGTGCGGGTCACAGCGAGCTTCCTTTAGATCGACGTTCGTTTTGGTGGTGCGAACCCAAAACCTGGACATCCGACCAGGGCGGGGAAGACCGGGAAGACTTGTCTTAGGTAGGGTTTAGGGTTTAGGGTTTAGGGTTTAGGGTTTAGGGTTTAGGGTTTAGGGTTTAGGGTTTAGGGTTTAGGGTTTAGGGTTTAGGGTTTAGGGTTTAGGGTTTAGGGTTTAGAGCCACCCAGCACCTATGTTGTTAAAACATTGAGACATCGAAGGAGATGTCGGGGCGCAAGAGCGCCTGCCAACCGAGAAGCACAGCAAGCATACTATCCGTCAACATGTTGACTTGATGTCGGTGATCAGCTCCTTACAAACAGGCCCTAAACTCTTCTAAACCCTAAACCCTAAACCCTAAACCCTAAACCCCAAACCCCAAACCCGAAACCCTAAACCCCGAGACTTGAGGATGCGCCCGATCTGCCGACCCTGATCTCCCATCAACGCCACTACCACATAAAAAACTGGCGCAGGCGCCTAGGGCTTAGGGTTTAGGGTTAATTTGGGGTTTAGGGTTTAGGGTTTATAGGGTTTAGGGCTTAGGGCTTAGGGCTTAGGGTCTAGGGTTTAGCGAAATAGATGAAAGAAATACACTAATATGAAACCGGGGCAACGTTTTGGGGGACTAGAATGGGAAGGGGTGCAATAGGGGAAACATCCATACCCTGCTAACACTCTCCGTTGCTTCATGTGTATGCTTGCTACGACTTGGCACAAGTCACAACCGCTTAAGAAAAGACAGCAAGCACACAGAAGACCCTAAACCCTAAACCCTAAACCCTAAACCCTAAACCCTAAACCCTAAACCCTAAACCCTAAACCCTCATTTTGTTGGAACCACAGCCGCAAGATCCGCCGACAACCTGAGTTGCCCCCCAAGGTTCCCCCCAAGAGGCAGCCAAGTAATCACCGAAAAAGCGCATATTTGGGGTTTAGGGTTTAGGGTTTAGGGTTTAGGGTTGGGCTTTGCATTGTGGTCCCTTTTGGGGTCCGGCTCCTGTGTACGGAGGCTTAGAACTAGGGCACGCAGCAACGGACCACAATTTGCAACAACACCCAGGTTGCAAGTATGTAAGTTCATCAGCGCAGACACACACACACACACACACACACACACGGCAGGTGTGCGTGAAGTCTCGCGTCAAAGCCGCGGCATGCATGGTGGATCAGGTTTAGGGTTCGGGGTTTGGAGGAGCCCAATCTGGCCTAGGTGCGATACATGACATTGTACCAGCCCCCTCAGAAACATGGGCGTGCTGTCAGTGTGTTGCGAAGCTCATTTCCCATGTGCACAAGCCCCAGTTTTCATGGTGAAGCTTTATGGCGCAGGGAGGTGTAGGGCTTGCTTTTCGATTCAGATGGACACGAACAACCTTATGGAGAGGTGTCAAGGAACACGCTTGTCCATGAATAAACTTTTGCGCGCACTCATGATTATATGCTGATTTTTGCAGGTGCTTTCCCAAGCAGCCTGTTTTAGGGATTTTGTTGCGGGCTTGTGGGATTGATGCCTCAGCCTCACTTCATGATGACTTCATGTAACAAACTCGCGATCTGCGATCTCAAGCAAACGCATCTTGGTTCATGTGCCAATACGTCACTGCCCAGACGTCGCCAACACTGGCTCAAAGATGAAATAGGTCGCGTACATTCGGGTACCCTGCAGAGAAGGTGGCACAACTTGACTCGCACGATTTTGGTACTTCCTCTACTTGGAAATACAGGAAAGGAATCTCCTCACTGAGTGTCACTAAGTGGCAGCTTCCTGAAGAATCGCCGACCTTCCGAATGGCCTGCGCAGAAATGCACAGAATTTGAGGTGGTCTCAGGTTGCAGTGGCCTCTCAAAATTGGGGACATCCCGTATCCGGCAGCATCCAAATGCTTCTGTCAAAGTAAAAGGACACATTCCCGCCGCATCTACTATGTGACATACATCTACGGCCGCTATGATTGCCTTCGGATAGATGGTTGGACAGAGTCACCCGGTGTTGAGTACCGCCAATCCCATGCAATGCAGGCAGGTATCCTGGTGAGGACTCGGACACATACTGGACAGGACATTGCCAGAGGTCCGTCAGAACTTCCATCATGTTCCTTAGAACGCAGCCTGCCTCTTGCAAAAACTGCGCTGTGCTATGCAACACACTTCACAAGAGCTGATGAACTTGGCCAGGGAGTTCAGCTGTCGCTAGGAAGCTGGCGTGGACTGCATGTGGACCCTAAACCCTAAACCCTGAATCCTAAACCCTAAACCCTGCTGCATGCGAGTCTCATAGCATCCACCACTTGCAACGCGACTGCTCGCCCAGTGGCCTGGCCATTCCTGACCCAGTTCATTGGGCAGACAGGCCAGGAGCAATCGTGCAACTTTGCCTGCCCTAAACCCTCAACCCTAAACCCTAAACGCTAAACCCTAAACGCTAAACCCTAAACCCTACACCCTACACCCCTACACCCCTACACCCTACACCCTAACCCTAAACCCGAAACCCGAAACCCAGGTCTGGACCCACCGTCCCAGAACGACTTCAGAAGCCTCATCAACCTGCCGGACCAGGAAGTCTGCCGAAGCCCGAACGGAGGCGGCTGTGGCCATGAATAGTCTTGATACTCGCAATTTGGGATGTTCCCCCTTATACGAACAGTCCCTAAGAGGGATTATAGTACCCCCTATTATAATCCCTATGAGGGACTGCTAGTATACGGGGGGAACATCCCAATATTTCCCATTTTCGTCAGACCACCGATATTCTTAGGGTTACTCCATACTCTTGACACTCTTGATCTTCGTTCTGCTTGAAATTTAAGAGTTCTTCATGTTCTTAACCGTCATATTGTTCAGTATGGCATGATGTTTTTGAATGTTAATCTCCTTTAATAGTTCGGATAATCTGAACACCGAATATGAACAAGAAATTGATACTAATCATATGATGACCCTAAACCCTAAACCCTAAACCCTAAACCCTAAACCCTGGAATTTGATCGCCAAAGCGCGGCGAAACCCGCACAAGCGAGGAGAAGCGATCAGCCTGCGGCATCACAAAGCAAACAGTGACTCTCCGATGCTACTACTGCTTCTACTCTTACTATTACTACTAGTATTCCAATTATGATTTACTAATACTACTACTTGTACTATTACTATTACTAATTACGAGTATTCCTATTATGATTACTAATACTAATACTCTTACTTCTACTATTACTATTACTACTAGTATTCCTAGTATGATTACTAATACTACTACAATTATGATTGCTATTGCTATTCCTATTATAAGTAGTATTACTTTCTAGGGCTTGGGGGGGAAGGTTTGTACAGAGCGTAGGCTGCTCAACCCGCTGATGCACGCCACGGCCTGTGGAGGAACTTCGCTTGAATGGTAATGTGAACTCACCGGCGGGCTTCAAGGAAAGGGTTGATGTTGGAGATTCCAGGTGTTGCCCTCAACCCTAGACCCTAAAAAAAACCCTGAACCCTAAACCCTACACCCTACACCCTACACCCTAAACCCTACACACAAAACTCTAAACTCGTGACTCCCTGCAGCCCCTGCAGACAGCCTCGAGCAACACCATTCCAGTGGCATCCTCCGTTTTCATCTCACCAAGGTGAGTCCAGTGTATCCACATGCACATCTCCACAAGCCTCATAGGGTTCAGGGTTCAGGGTTCAGGGTTCAGGGTTCAGGGTTCAGGGTTCAGGGTTCAGGGTTCAGGGTTCAGGGTTCAGGGTTCAGGGTTTAGGGTTTAGGGTTTAGGGTTTCAGGGACGGCAGCCGCTTCTCATGACTGGCTGCTTCTTAGTAGGGAATGAGGGAAATGGGGTCCTATAAAAACCTGTGAAGGGATTAACAATATCGGGTACCTCTTTCCCCTGGCTCTTAGTAGGGAATGAGGGAATTAGGGCCCTATATATATATATATATACCCTTTAAGGGATCATATAGGACCCTAATTCCCTCATTCCCTACTAAGAACCAGGGGGACGAAGAACCCGGGGGAATACTTGTGATCAAGGCATGCACGCAGGAAGTGTGGAAGACAGCCAAACTGCCAACCCAGGCACCACCAACTCTCGCTGAGCTTGGCCTGGCCAAGCAGGGATTAGGGTTTAGGGTTGAGGGTTGAGGGTTGAGGGTTTAGGGTTTAGGGTTGAGGGTTTAGGGTTGAGGGTTGAGGGTTGAGGGTTGAGGGTTCAGGCTTTAGAGGGGCTTTGGCGCAACTCGCCTCCTCGCCGTGGAGAACGTACTTGAGAGAGCCTTGCATGCTGCTGTCCATTTCACGCAACTTCCTAAAACTCTGGTCACCCTAAACCCTAAACCCTAAACCCTAAACCCTAAACCCTAAGACCACATTCTTGCCCGCGAGCCTGCCGTCATGAAGTAGGCGTGTGAGGCCATCGTCTCGGCTTCGAAAACGGTGTCTGCTGGCGCAAAGGTGCCTTATAGGAGCAGATGCAACATGCTTTAGGGCTTAGGGCTTAGGGCTTAGGGCTTAGGGCTTAGGGTTTAGGGTTTAGGGTTTAGGGTTTAGGTTTAGGGTTTAGGGTTTAGGGTTTAGGGTTTAGGGTTTAGGGTTTAGGGTTTAGGGTTTAGGGTTTAGGGTTTAGGGTTTAGAGTTTAGGGTTTAGGGTTTAGGGTTTAGGGTTTATGCTTCTGTGTCTCAGTTGCTTTGTCAACACACTCCCCCGAATCCCTCATGCCTCCAGCATCTAACACCGATCCATTTGTGCTACAGCGTGCCTGCACGTTACAGAAATGCAAGTTGCATTGACAGACGAAATTATGGCAAACGCTGGCTACTTGCTGAACACGCACATCTGGTTGGCGCGAAGTTGCGATGAGTCAGCCCATCGTTCGCCAGATTCTTCATAATCTGGTCGGGACTCATGTGTGGCTCAAGCATCACGAACCGTCCTATGCCCTATCCCCTAAACCATAAAACCCTAAACCCTAAACCATGTTCATGCTCCTTGTCTGCCCGGACCAAGGATGGTTTGAGGGGAAACACGAGCTCCGGCACGTCCACTTCGACTTCTCTCACATCTGAGAAGCACCCTTTTTGTAGGAGCTTTTAATTGTAAACGCTTGCGCGCGCCGCCTCGGCAGCCGGGCCGGCCGGTTCGGAAGGGGGTGGGCGGGGGGGGCGGGGTGGGGGGGGGGGGGGGGGGGGGGGGGGGGGGGGGGGGGGGGGGGGGGGGGGGGGGGGGGGGGGGGGCGCGAGAGGCCGTAATAGAGAGCTCATATCGAGCCCAGGTGTGGTCACGTAGCTTTTGTTTTATTATAGCCTGCGGAAACATCTTTCGGAGTTTGGGCCAAAAGAGTGTTTCCGAAAGTAGAGACTCGTCGGTGCGAGTCATCGCGCCCTTTAGTGCCGCCATCGATTTGCTGGGCTTTCTTGCATCCCGAGCACTAGCTGTGCAAACGATGCACAGAAAGTGGAGCCTCGGCTTCTAGATTTCTATCGAACACGTCGTTGGCTCGAACTTGAAGGGTCGCAGCACTCTTGGGGCGGAGCATAGTTGGGGAAAACCGCCCTGAACCCTAAACCTTAAACCCTAAACCCTAAACCCTAAACCCTAAACCCTTTAGCAAACTGCCGGAGACAAACCCTTCAGCAAACTGCCGGAGACACACTCGAGCCCTTCACTCGAATGGGGCCTCCACCCTAAAACCCTAAAACCCCAAAAACCCGAAAAACCCTAAAACCTCCTAAGACCCCAAAACCCTATAAAGCCCAAAAACCCCTAAAACCATGAGAATCCTAAAGCCCTAAAACCCTAAAACGCTAAAAATCCAAAACCCCTCAAAACCTGAATATCCTAAACGCCTAAAACCCTCAAACCCTCAAACCCCAAAACCCTCACACCCTAAGACCCTAAAACCCTAAGACCCTAAAACCCTTAAAACGCTAAACATCCTAAACCCCCAAAACCCTCATTTGGCCCGAGATCTCCAGACCCCGCACCCGGACTTGCAGGCCTTCGAAACCCTAAACCCTAAACCCTAAACCCGAAGTCTCTCAAAACCCAAAATCCAGGTACCCTAAGTCGACCCGAGACTTTTGCCTCGCTTTTGTAAACTAATCTTTGGGGACCATGCTGCTGTGCGAGATATGAGAGCTCGATCCTGCAAATGCAATATGACACCTACAGCCAGCTTTTAGGGTTTAGGGTTTAGGGTTTAGGGTGTAGGGTTTTAGGGTTTAGGGTTTAGGGTTTAGGGTTTAGGGTTTAGGGTTTAGGGTTTAGGGTTTAGGGTTTAGGGTTTAGGGTTTAGGGTGTAGGGTTTAGGGTTTAGGGTTTAGGGTTTAGGGTTTGGTGCCTGCAAGGTGGTGAAGTCGTAGGCATCCGGTTTGCTGTGCTGCTTGACGATGATCAGCTCCTTCCGTGCCAAGTCTACGGCCCGGCTGCAAATATCCTTGGCCCTAAAAGGGTTTATGGTTCATATACCTTACTAGGAATTGTAGTAGTGAAGGGCAAACGACCCCAATCTTGGGGATCATTTGCTGCCCAAGGATGACACGATTTCTACCTTCAGTTCACGGTCCTTCAAGCAGCGCTCGTACTTGGCATACCTCTGCAAAGAGGGAGAAACAGGAAGATGACACACGGGGGCTCACCGGATTGAGGCTTCGAGACACATGACTGTTGATGCTAAGCAAAGGCCGATAAACCCTAAACCCTAACACCTAAACCCTGAACCCCAAACCCTAAACCCTAATGCCGTCAAGGCACTGGAGTTCGGCCGTAAGGGGTTTGGACAAGAACCCCAGGAGCTCCACCTCGGAGACGCCAAAAAGCGCGCCACGTACGCACGGACACCCGCGCACGCGGAAGCTTTAGGGTTTAGGGTTTAGGTTTAGGGTTTAGGGTTTAGGGTTTAGGGTTTAGGGTTTAGGGTTTAGGGTTTAGGGTTTAGGGTTTAGGGTTTAGGGTTCAGCATCTCAAGTTCGAGCATTTGCTGGGCCTGCAGTGTGTTCAGGCAACGGAAAAAAACCCACCCGCCCAAAGAATCCCATAACATTAAGCAAATAAAAGGTTTTCTTCCTAATCCAAAGAGTTTTACCTACCCAAGTCAGGCACGTTTTCAACAACATTAGGAAAAATATCCAACCTCCTTCTTCTCTAGGCACGTGGTCAACAGAATGGACTTGTTAACCACATGTTTCTGTTTCGAGCGGACAAGAAAACCAAACGTGGTCACCAGAATGGATTAGTTAACCACATGTTTCTGTTTCAAGCGGACTTGAGAAGGGGCTACGAAAGCCAGTCACCACAGGGGGGTGGCAGGCAGCGAGTCGGCAGGACTTGGAGCCGCCGGCGCAGCTTTTTCCGTATTTCAGGCACATGGCTCAACCGGTTAGTCAGGTAAGATCAAAGACCCCTAAACTCGAAATCTGAAGCCCTAAACTCCTTCAGCCCGCTTGCTTCCCCCGCTGGAACCCCGTGTCGCAAACGAAGTTTAGGTACAGGGATGCTCTGTTCAGTACGACCTCTGCAAAGTACCACAGACCTTCAGAGCATGGTGACTGTGCGGGGCGGGGGAGGACCTTGGGGGGGGTGGGGGGGGACCTTGTGGGGGGGGGGGGGGGGGGGGGGGGGACCTGAAGGTGGTAGGGGGGGGGGCCCCCCCCCCCTACCTTATCCCACGCGCAACCACCTTAAAGGAGAGGGGGGGGGGGGGGGGGGCCGGCACCTTATCCTTCGAAAATGCTTCATGGTGAGGTGAGGGGGGGGGGGGGCCCCCCCCCCCCCCCCAACCCCCACCTTAAGTCTTGGGTTTCGGACCTGTTAAGGTGTGGAACCCTTTTTTTCCCTGGAAGCTTCTTAACAAGGTGAATACCAGTGCATGGGCAAACGACAACTCCCGCCAGCTCCACAGAGCTAGTTTTCGTGACAAGAAAACCAAACGTGGTCAACAGAATGGATTTGTTAACCACACGTTTCTGTTTCAAGCGGACAAGAAAACCAAACGTGGTCAACAGAATGGATCTGTTTATCACATTTGGAAGCCATCTTGAGTTTCTTGAATCGATTGAGAGGCTTCAGGGGCCTCAAAAACAGGCGCGGTCATTCGAGAACTTATTCTTTGGAAGCCATCTTGAGTCTCTTGACTCTTTTGAGGGGCTTCAGGGGCCTCAAAAACAGGCGCGGTCATTCAGAAACTTATTCTTTGGAAGCCATCTTGAGTTTCATCAGGGGCGGTCATCCGGGGCCGCCCATGAGATCAGGGCACAGGCCAAGCGGGCTTCCCCACCCCACCCTTTGATCCACCTTGTCGAGGGGGGTTGAGGGGGGAGGGGGGGCGAGGGGGGGGTGGTGGGGGGGTGGAGGTGTGGGGTGGGGGTGGTGGGGGTGGGGGTGGTGGGGGTGGGGGAGGGGTGGGCGGGGGGTGGGGGGGGCTGGGGGAGGGGGGGGGGGGGGGGAGGGTTGGGGGGGGGGGGGGGGGCGGGGGGGGGCCTTGCCCACTAAATATATGACCTTGCCCGCTAAATATATGACCTTGCCCTCTAAATATATGACCTTGCCCGCTAAATATATGACCTTGCCCACTAAATATATGACCTTGCCCGCTAAATATATGACCTTGCCCGCTAAATATATGACCTTGCCCGCTAAACGTATGACCTTGCCCGCTAAATATATAAAAAATGACCTTGCCCTCTAAATATATGACCTTGCCCGCTAAATATATGACCTTGCCCGCTAAATATATGACCTTGCCCACGAAATATATGACCTTGCCCGCTAAATATATGACCTTGCCCGCAAAGTCATTAAGATTTATATTATATATGAAAGACTGGTTTAGGGTTTAGGGTTTAGGGTTTAGGGTTTAGGGTTTAGGGTTTAGGGTTTAGGGTTTAGGGTTTAGGGTTTAGGGTTTAGGGTTTAGGGTTTAGGGTTTAGGGTTTAGGGTTTAGGGTTTAGGATTTTAGGGCCGAAGGCCCCACTGCAATTTCGGGGACCCGCAGAGCCGAGAAGAGCTGGTCAGCACCTGTCAGAGTTGAAGCTGAAGTGGGCAGGCAGGGTAGGTGCTAAGTCTTCTGAAACGGTTACAGAAGGTTTAGGGTTTAGGGTTTAGTGTTCAGGGTTCAGGGTTTAGGGTTTAGGGTTTAGGGCTTAGGGTGTAGGGTTTAGGGAGGTATGAAACGGAAAGAGTTCACAGGGGAGGTTCGGGCCTTGTGACTTCTGCCCGGAAAAGCCCTGCATGCACTTGGAAGGGGCCTCCTACATCGAAACAGGTTGATCTTGCGTCATCTGCTGGAGGTCTCGGAGATCTTAGAGAAAGCAACATTGGAGCATCTTGGGCCTTGGGAAGGCCTTCCGCATCTTCCGGAAGCTGGGGACGCTGGAAAGCATGGAACTAAACAAGCCGATTTTAATTGAAGCAGCAAACCCTAAACCCTAAACCCTAAACCCTAAACCCTAAACCCTAAACCCTAAACCCTAAAGCCTAAACCCTAAACCCTAAACCCTAAACCCTAACTCCCTGCTTCACTGGGCCGGGCCTTCGCTGCCAGCGGCATCAGGCAGCTCCACCAAGGGGGAGCTTCGAACGCTCAGATGGCGAGATGGGGAAACGGTGAGTTCGCAAAGGCGTAAAACCCAAACCCTAAACCCCAAACCCTAAACCCTAAACAAGAAGCCCTAAACAAGAAACCCCCAAACCCTGAACCTTGAACGCAAAGGCATTTCCGCATGTCAAATGCGCATCGGATAGACCACTGAGAGCCCCACTTGCGACTCCAGAACAGCCGCCTTTCTGGGAAATCTCTGCAGGGCTAGACCGTCGGGAGCTAAGGTGCCCCAAAACCCGAACCCTAACCCTAAACCCCAGAACATAAACCCTTAACCACTAAACCCTAAACCCTTTCTCTCTTCACGCCTGTCGCACGTCAAAGGCATTCTCCAGGAAGCCCGTGATTCGAAGACCCAGCTCATCATCGATCCGATTCTGTATCAGATATTTCCTGGTGAAGCTTGCTGCTCTGCGGGGGTTTACACGGGAGCAGACCCTGTCACTCACCCAGCCAACGGCTTGCATGAGACCCTCTATCATATGTCCGGTGTTTGCTGATCCGCACCTCAGCTGGCGAAACTGGTTCTTCTTGTTTTCCGCGGCTCTGTTGAGCTGCGTCGTCATGGTTGTGATGGCCTCAGGCACATGCTTTCACGACCGCGCACGTGACCTTCGGCACTCGTGATGTCGGATCTTTGGCACTGGGGTGCCTCCCCTTGCGGGAAGGCTGGTGATACTACTCATGGCAACTCGGAGCACGTCAGATCAGCTCTCATAACCTGACCACAAGCTATGCTCACGCCCATCACGCTGCGCCAAGAGCTAAGTGGGAGATTGCCAAGCGTTGGGCTATATCACTCCGCCCTCACTCTTGCGGACGACATGAACCCTAAAACTGGGGTCATTTCCCCATAACTACTTTCACTCCTTTTGTAAGGTATATGAGCCATAAACCCTGTTAGGGTCATTTCGGCCCCAAGACAGGCCAAGACCAGACGCCGAACCTCTAGTGCAGCTCTGGCACGCCAAGGATTGTGGAGAAGACCACGAGGGCCATGAAAGCCGTCAGGATTCCAAACATCCGCTCCACAATCGTCTCGAGTCTCGGCCTGCGTCTCGGTCATCAGGAGGCCCCGCTGAGTAAGAAAGCAACGCAAACGGGCACAACAAGAATGCAGCCCTAAACTCTAAATCCTAAACCCTAAACTCTAGACTCTAAACCCTAGACTCTAAACCCTAAACTCAAGTCAAGCATCCTCAATATTGGTAGAGCCAAAGCCCAGCTGGCAGAACATCCAATGCAAGGAGGTTGCGTACCTGACATGCTAAGAGCAGAGTCATATACCCTATACCCTACTAAGGCAATATGATCCATAAACCCTTTTAGGTTCGTGTGGCCAGTTCTCAGAATTCTGCCCCCCATTGTTGGCGGGTGCCTGAAAATTAAGGGGCCCCCTTTCATCGTTGACCCCATCAGGGGACCACAATTCCGAGAGAAGTGTCCATATACCCTTTGCTACAAGTATTATTCCCTACTAAGGTAATATGAACCATAAACAATTTTAGGGCTCATGTCATATGCCCAGTTACTACTATGATACCCTACTAAGGCAATATGAACCATAAACCATTTTGGGATTCATGTACTCTACCCTCTACTGCGCATTTTCCCTACGCTGACCCCTAACAGGACAATGTTTAGACCCTAAACCCTCAACCCTCAACCCTCAACCCTCAACCCTAAACCCTAAACCCTAAACCCTAAACCGGGCAAGGCTTGATGAGAGGAGAGTGAGCGGCTGAGTGGAACAGACCCAGGCGAATGTCGAGCTTAGGGTTTAGGGTTTAGGGTTTAGGGTTTAGGGTTTAGGGTTTAGGGTTTAGGGTTTAGGGCTTAGGGTAATCCTACAAAGCCTGCAAACCCTGCGAATCCTACAAAGCCCCGCAATCCCTGCAATCCCTACAGGCCTACGAGCCCTACAAGCGAAAAACCCCTTAAAACACACCAAAAACTCCTAAAATCCCTATTTGAAACAAAAAACTAACCCCCCCCCCCCCAAAAAAAAAAAAAAAAAAGGCATAAAAAATCAAAAAAAAAAACCTTAAAACCCAAAACGGCCCAAAAAGCCCAAGCAAAAACCCTAAAACCCCCAAACCCTGCACCATGCCAAGCCCAGGGAGGTGCGCCTGTAGCCTGGACTTTCAGAGGCGAACTTGTGCCTGGCCAGTATTTGGTGTTTAGGGTTTAGGGTTTGGGGTTTAGGGTTTCGGGTTTGGGGTTTGAGGTTGAGGGTTTAGGGTTTAGGGCTTCGGGTTTAGGGTTTCGGGTTTAGGGTTCGGTACAGACTGGACAAAGCGCAAGGCCGACCGAAAGTCCCGAAATCATGCGAACAATCCTACACATCCGAGACTGTGCAACTAGGTACAGAAGCGACCATCTGTGTGATGGCGATATCACCCCACTTCTGAGGGCGAGTTTCGGGTTCATTTGGGGAATGCCAAGATATCTCTCAAAAAGAGATCCACTTGCCACCAAGGCTTTTGCCCCAAGGTCACGCCAAACTGCCAGGTTCGAATTCAAGGCTCCCTACGAGACTAACACTGTGGTTTGGGATGTTCCCCTTATACGAACAGCCTGCAGGGATGCCAAGAGCGGGTACTAAAATCCCTATTAAGGACTGTTAGGACACGGGGGAGCATCCCAAATTGTGGTCTTTACTGGAGATGCGAGAGGGTGGACCCACACCCTGCACATGCTGGAGTGGAACTGGGAAGGAGGGAGCCGCCAGCATGTCTGACAGCAGGCGCACAAGGAGCCGGCTCTGAAATGCGGCCTCGCATGCGCCGATGGCCGCGCTGAAGCTCACCATGTCCGCACAAGGCATGGAGGACAGGAGCCGAAGGGACAGCTGCCATTGCAGTCCCTTCCTTAGGTGCTGAGGTCCCTCAGGGGGCAAAAAAAATGTTAACCTTTGGGTTTTGAGGGAAAATTTCTAGTACCCATAAACGGTCAACAGGTTGCCCACCCAGCACCTAAGCTTCTTGCAGGCGCCAATGGCCGCGCTGAAGCACAGCTCGTTCGGGCGGAGCCCGACCGTGGCCATATCTTCCAGCAGTTGGAGCACAGCTTGCCACTGCCCAACCCTCTCACAGGCGCTGAGAGCGGCACCGTACACGACTTCGTTCTGGCTTACTTCCTTGGGGACGCAAGGAACCTTAATCGGGTTTAGGGGTTTAGGGTTCATATTGCCTCAAGAGGAATTTTAGTAGTCAGGGTATATGACCCCGACTTTTAGGGTTCGTAATTCGTCCCCGAGGTACTTGTGACTGCATGGCTGCCAGCACATGCAGGGCCATCTTCCACTCGCCGGCCTTCTCACACGCGCTGATGGCAGCACCAAAGGTCACTTCATCCGGATGCAGCTTGGCTGAGGGCACCTTACTTCCCTTAATAACCAAGGGAACATACAAAAAAGTTAAACTTTATTATTCCTACTAAATTAGGAGACCCAAAATTCAAACTTTATTCTTCCTACTAAATAAGGAAACCCAAAAAGTTAAACTTTACTATTCCTGCTAAATAAGGAAACCCAAGAAGTTTAAAGCTCAGCTCTTGGAGAAGTCGGGCACTTGGGCCAGAAGGAAGAGGGCCATCCCCCAGTGGCCCACCTTCTCACAAGAGCTGATGGCCGCGTTGAAGCTGAAGATGTCAGGCTCCTCTACTTTTTGATTAAGAACCCTCAAAAGAAATCTTCCTTATAAAGGGCAATAACAGGATTTGCTCAAGAACCCTCAAAAAACACAAGCAAAGAATATTCTTCCTTTTCAAGGGAAATTAATAGGATCATTGCTTTCTATTTTTTGGGGGGTTCTTAAGAACATAGTCGTCCTGTGCCAGCGAAGCCATGTCTTCGAAAAGCAGCTTCAGGGCCATCGGCCACTGTCCTCCCCGCTCGCAGGCGCTCATCGCCGCGTTGAAGCTAAACCTGGGCTCTTGCTTGGGAGCTGAAATGAAGCTACCACAAATAGGGCTATACAGCAAAAAATGCCAAAGGAGCTGAAATGAAGCTACCACAAATAGGGCTATAATCATAATGTAGCTCCCTCATCCATGGTAACTTGAGCTCTCTTCCTTTTTAAGCAAGAGCCCAGAAGCATGTCAGGAACGAGGCTTGCGTAAGGCATGTCTGAGAGCAGTTGGAGTGCCATTTGCCAGTGTCCGCGTCGCTGATGGGCAGTGATCACGGCGTTGTAGCTGATCTTGCTCGGGCGCTGCCTCGACGACCAGATCTCCTTTAGCAGCCCCAATGCTTCCTGTCAGCGACTGAACAGCTACATGTGAGAGGTCCTAAACCCAAAACCCAAACCCAAAACCCCAAACCCTAAACCCTAAACCCTAAAGGATGTTTCCGCATCTGCCTGCGTCTGCGCCCCTCTGCTACAGGCGGCGATGGCCGCTCCCAGGATGACCTGGTTCGGGGTCACCCGGAGATGCGGCATCTCCTGGGTTTAGGGCTTAGGGAAAAGGGAAAAGGGTTTAGGGTTTCGGGTTTAGGGTTTAGGGTTTAGGGTTTAGTGCTTTTTCAGCTCCCTTCAGTATGAAATTAAGGGGAACCCAAAACTTACAAAGTGATAAAGTTGTAGTAAAGTCCCACCTAGTCTCGTTGAAGAGCCTCAGCGCCATCCTGGGCTGGCCGTTATAAGCCCGTGAAAGATGTTTGTACATTGTGCATCAGGGCCCCTGATAAACCTAAATAAGGAGAGTAAGAATTATCCCGAACACCCATAAAAGAAGTAAAAGAAATAAGAAATCAAAAACAAATAAGGAAACTACAAATGATCCCCAACAGCCATTACAAAACGATATATATATATATGTATATATATATACACATATATATAACATAAGGAAACCACAAACAGATCCCCAACAGTCAGCCGAGCATCGGCCATTGATCCCCTTTCTCACAGGAGCTCATGGCCGAGCTGATGCTAAACTGGTCCGCTTCAGCGCCAAGAGCCTCGCTTTCATGGTTGGGATAAGTACGTTGAAAACAGCAGATGTCTATTCCTTATTGGGTTTAGGTACCCTTAAGCATGTAAGCTTCTATTCCTTATTGGGTTTAAGTCAAAGTACCCTGAAAAATATGAAATGCTACCCAACTATGACAAAGGAACGGCGAAGATCGCAAGGGCCGCCTGCCACTCACCGGCCTTGGCACAAGCGCTGATGGCGGCATTTCGAGTGATCGCATCGGGAAGCACGCCGGTGCCTCAGTAGCCCAGTAACCATATTCTGGTAAGGGCACCCTTTTTTGCGTTGGTTACTTTATAAGGAAACCCAAGAACCAAAAAAAAGGGGTAAAGGGTACCACTGGGCTACCAAGGTGCAGTGCATCTGCTGCAGCAGCTGCAGAGCCGGAATCCACTGCGCCGCCCTCTCACAGGCCGTCACCGAGCTGCCGCAGGCGATCTGATTCTGCATAAGCCCCGGCGTCTCTGAAAGCAGCCGGAGAGCGTGCTCCCAGCGCCCCACGCCTGCGCACGCCTTGATCGTCGCTCCTACCACGATGTGGTTCGGGGACGCCGAGAAGGATGGCATGTCTGCCAAGAGTTGCAAGGATGCCTGCCAAGCCTGTGCCCTCCCACAGTTGTTGATGAGCCCACCAACAGTCCGCACATCGGCTGCAAGGAAGCTTCCTCGTGCATGCACCAACAGGTCCAGGGCAGCTTGCCACTGGCTGCCCTTACCCAGCGAAGCCACGTCTGCTTGCGCGGAATCCGGAGCCATTCTAGAATTGCTGGCCGTGCGGCTTCTGACCCCTACTCATGCCCCCATGAGCACTTGGTCCGAACTCAGCTTTGATCACACAGCCCGCCGAGCCTTTCCGCGAACTTTACATGTTTCACGTCGGGTTGCTGACGCTTCGCTCAAACAGGCCGGCGAAACGCATGAACCCATCCCTCCGAATCCGCAGAGCCGATGGAATACCACGCACAGGCCTGGGCAGGGGGGGTTTATAGGGCTTGGGGTTTAGGGTTTAGGGTTTAGGGTTTAGGATTTAGGGTTTAGGGTACTTCTGAGCCTGAAACCCTCGCGCCTACGAGACTGGCCCCAGAGGAACGTTTATCGCAGCCATGGCACCATCACATGCTGTATGAGGAGGACCTCGGTTGGAAAGGTCTCTTAAGTGACCATATTGTCCCGGCTGAACAAAAGGTTTCAGGGTTGCAGGGCTCAGGCCCAGTGATTCGCGGCCCGAGGCTTCAAAAGGCATGTTACTTAGGGCTGTTACTATCTGCTATAGTATCTCCAAAATAGACACCCCACATGTGCTCAACCAACCGCACTAACACCGGCTTTGAACATAAACGAACCTCTAAACTCGTGCAGGAACCCTGGCTGTCAGCAACCATCCCTTAACTGCCTTGCTGATCGCGATGTGCCCTGGGCCAGAAACCCACTCTCTCAGACGAGGTGGGATCTCCCACAATACGGGTACCGCTGTATGCCCCCAAAAACACTCATCCTTGTCGAAGGAAGCCCCCCCCAAAAAGTACCCCCTGTTCTAGTACATGCCCTACTTGCTGAGTACCCTGGGCCAAACATTGTTAACCCCTCAAGTATGGTAGGATCGTATATACCTAATAAGGTTCAAGGTTACTTACCCAGCTACTAAGATGCCACTTAAGTGCTGAACCGTATTCCCTAAACCCGCGGCCCCAAACCCTAACCCCTAAACCCTGAACCCTGAACCCTAAACCCTAAACCCTGAACCCCAAACCCTAAACCCACCGAAAACTTTAGTAAGATGCCCAGGCGGCTTGGCAGGACAGCTGGAAGATATTGGCCTTGGCAATCAGGGTCTCCGAGATGAGGCGGCGCTTCAAGCTGTCCGAGGTCCTCAGAGCGTTGAGGGTTTAGGGGTTTTGGGGTTTTTAAGGGTTTTTAAGGATTTTTAAGGGTTTTTAGGGTTTGGGGTTTAGGGTTTAGGGTTTCGGGTTTGGGGTTTAGGGCGAAGCGAAGGCGCGCGAGGAATCTGCGAGGCAGATGCAGGGATTGGACGACTCATGTTGCGAAACTCAGTGCTCTCTTGTGCGGCCGAGGTGCTTGTTCAGCTTCATGAACCTCGCCAGCCTGCTTGCTTTATCCATTCTTGGGCGTGGATTTGCGATTAGGGCCCTAAACCCTAAACCCTAAACCCTAATCCCTGAACCCTGAACTCTGAACCCTTGCCCGCCTGGCCCCAAGCTTCATCATGATCAGGACGTACTTGAACTGAGCACGGGCGGGAGAGTGAGAAAGCCGAATTGAGGGGCCCGAAGTGCATGCCGATAGCCTACAAAGGACGCTTCCATATTCTAACTTTAATTTAACTCACAAATGAATAATAACAGTCACAATACTACTAAACTCACAGTAATAAGAATACTAAGAATATGTAGCTTGTTTGGGAATTAACTAGTACACATAGCAATCATAACAAAACATTGTAGTAACATTCAATGTAATAATAAGTAATTATGGTAATTATCTGTCACTTGCTTGGTTTGTTGGAGGAGATTTTGGTTGCAGTCTGTTTTCACGGTGTTTAGGGTTTAGGGTACGGGGGGAAACCGAAGGGGGACGAGAAACCGAACAGTCAACCCCAACAGAAGCCCTTGATTTCCCTGGATCAACCACACAACAAACCCAAACCACAGGGCACTCACCTTTTACTACCAGGCACATGGCCCAGTCTTGAGCCAAAAAAGATTTCCGGGTTTATTAACCCTTTCAACTTCCAACACTAACTCTTTTTACAATACCAGTTGCAGCTCCGCACTCCCCCTGTCCTAGGATTTCCTAGGACACATTGGAGATGCAGATCTTTGGCCAAAAACTGCCATTAGGGCAGTAGCCTGCTGCTTGACATGCACAATATGGTTTTACGTCTACCAGGACGAAATTATAGCACATTGGCTAAATCCACTAACCATAGAGAATCTTTTCACCATGATCCTCTCATCACCGAAGACTCCTTGGCCTTCTTCACCACAAACCGTGGTCTTCGCTACGCGAAAAGCTACTGACTTCTACTATCAGGGATTTCCATACCCTTAATAGTAACCACCACATTTGTCAGCACATTGGCTGTTCCAGCGCACCTGTCTCCAGAAAGAGAAAAACCATCCCTTCATCCATACCATCCAATCACTTCTTTTTCCGATTGTTGGCAATCTTGAGGTGAAGTTGCAGCAGAATATACTCCAGGTCCGAAACTGCAAGAACAGGATCCTGTACGCCCCTTTGAATTGAGGATACCAGTCCTTCTCTTTTCGCGTCCTCAATCGCTTGGCAAGATTGACCCAGCTCTGCACTCACAGCTGCCGACGCTTGCGCATCCACATCAGGAGGACGATCCTTTTCTTCAGGACCTTTCACCACCACCACTTCTCCCTTTTTGGGACTCTGACTTTTCTCCTTCTTCTTCGCCTTTCCACCGACGATTGACTTTGTGCGCATTCTCGAGGCTTTTTCCCCTGCAGAAACCGCCGCATTGGTTGATGATCCACTCTTCTCAATGGTCGCCGGCATCTTCTTTGGCTTTGGAACCAGGAGAGTGTAAGGATCTTCGATAACTGCAGCTTTCCTCTTCTTTTTAACCTTTTTTGCCTCCTCCTTAACGATAACCTCCGTCTCAGAAGTCTCAACCACCTCCTTTTCGGCAGGAATATCTTTGCTGGACTCCCTTTCTAGGGACCTCTTCTTGCCCCTTTTGGGATCTTTTTCTTCTTCCATGTTGGCTCGCTCAAACCATATCCTCAGGTCATTGACCCATTCTTCCACCTCCTCGAGCGAAACCTCATACGACTTCACTACTTCGTGAAGTTCCAGCACGGACAACATATCGTCGGTCCACGAAACCCATTCTCTATCCATCTGGTCAGCGTCTCCCTTGAACTTCAGGAGTTTGAACAGTGGGTCCGCCTCTGCTCGAGCCAAGTCTGTTTTGCCATTGGACAGAAATGAAATCGCTTCCATCAACAGTTCCGACATTTTGGTGTCATCGTCATAGGTCATGGAATACTCCTCACCATCATCGAACTGTTCAGGAGAGATCTCCTCTTCTCCACCTTTTGCACCAGAACTTCTCCTTGGACCATCCCTTGGGGGCGTCCTTGGAGACCTTGGCCTCTGTTCATTCAGCGGATCACCATGCTCAAAAACACACTTGTCACCATAACGACACTTCCCAGACTGAGCAAACTGAATGCACCTCACACCAGTTGCATCATGCGAGAACGCACACGTCTTTCCAGCGAAACAGAGTCTCCCCGCCACATAGTATTTGCACCAATACGAATGCAGCACCACATCATCTTCTGAATGGATGAATTTGCAGTCTTCACCAAATTTGCAGCGATCTTTTCCCTTACTGAACCAATAGCAGAAGCCTTTCTTCCTCTTCTCCAAGCGCTCCGCCTCGAACCGGTCCATAGGGCGATTCTGCTCTACA